AGCAGTCCGGAGTGTGGGGACTGTTTATGACGATAAGATTAGGGTATCTGCAATCCTGAAATGCTATGGGAAGGGAGGAAAACGGGTCCGCGACGTAGGAAGTGGTGAAGGAAGTAGTCAAGGCGAGTAGTCCGGAGTGCAGGAACTGTTTATGACGATTAGAATAAGGTATCTGCAATCTTTAAGTGCAATAGGAAGGGAGGGAAACAGGTCCGCGACGTAGGAAGTGGTGAAGGAAGTAGTCAAGGCGAGCTGTCCGGAGTGTTGGAACTATTATGACGATTAGATAAGGGTATGGGCAATCAAAAATGCTATGGGAAAGGGAGGGAAACAGGCCCGTGACGTAGGAAGTGGTGAAGGAAGTAGTCAAAGCGAGCTGTCCGGAGTGTTGGAACTGTTTATGACGATAAGATAAGGGTATGGGCAATCCTAAAATGCTATGGGAAGGGAGGGAAAGAGGTCCGCGACGTAGGAAGTGGTGAAGGAAGTAGTCAAGGCGAGCTGTCAGGAGTGAGGGAACTGTTTATGGCGATTAGATAAGGGTATGGGCAATCCTAAAATGCTATGGGAAGGGAGGGAAACAGGTCCGTGACGTAAGAAGTGGTGAAGGAAGTAGTCAAGGCGAGCTGTCTGGAGCGTGGGAACTGTTTATGATGATTAGATTATGGTATTTGCAATCCTAAAATGCTATGGAAAGGGAGGAAAATAGGTCCGCGACGTAGGAAGTGGTGAAGGAAGTAGTCTAGGCGAGTTGTCCGGAGTGTTGGTAATGTTTATGACAATTAGATTAAGGTATCAGCAAACCTAAAATGCTACGGGAAGGGAGGAAAACAGGTCCGCGACGTAGGAAGTGATGAAGGAAGTAGTCAAGGTGAGCTGTCCGGAGTGTGGGAACTGTTTATGACGATTAGATTAAGGTATTTGCAATCCTAAAATGCTATGGGAAGGGAGCGAAACAGGTCCGCGACGTAGGAAGTGGTGAAGGAAGTAGTCAAGGCGAGTAGTCCGGAGTGTGGGAACTGTTTATGACGATTAGATAAGGGTATGGGCAATCCTAAAATGCTATGGGAAGGGAGGGAAACAGGTCCGCGACGTAGGAAGTGATGAAGGAAGTAGTCAAGGTGAGCTGTCCGGAGTGTGGGGACTGTTTATGACGATTAGATTAAGGTATTTGCAATTCTAAAATGCTATGGAAAGGGAGGAAAATAGGTCCGCGACGTAGGAAGTGGTGAAGGAAGTAGTCTAGGCGAGTTGTCCGGAGTGTTTGAAATGTTTATGACAATTAGATTATGGTATCAGCAAACCTAAAATGCTACGGGAAGGGAAAAAACAGGTCCGCAAAGTAGGAAGTGATGAAGGAAGTAGTCAAGGTGAGCTGTCCGGAGTGTGGGAACTGTTTATGACGATTAGATTAAGGTATTTGCAATCCTAAAATGCTATGGGAAGGGAGCGAAACAGGTCCGCGACGTAGGAAGTGGTGAAGGAAGTAGTCAAGGCGAGTAGTCCGGAGTGTGGGAACTGTTTATGACGATTAGATTAAGGTATCTGCAATCTTTAAATGCAATGGAATGGAGGGAAACAGATCCATGACGTAGGAAATTGTGTAGGATGTAGATGTGTGGATTTATGTATCTCCAATACTACGGTGCTTTCAGAGCGAACTAATGATTTTCCCCGAGCAAAGCTCGGTCCCCAGGTACTATAATCAAATGACGACACTAGCTTGAGGTTCGTGACGTATGAAGAGGTTAAGGAAGTAGTAAAGGTGAACAGTCTGGAGTATGGAAACTGTTTATGACGATTAGATTAAGGTCTCTACATTCCTAAAATGCTACGGAAAGGGAGGGAAACAGGTCCGCGATTTGGGAAGTGGCGAAGGAAGTAGTAAAGGCGAGCTGTTCGGAGTGTGGGATCTGTTTATGACGATTAGATTCAGGTATCTGCAATCTTAAAATGCTATGGGAGAGAGGGAAACAGATCCGCGACGTAGGAACAGGTGAAAGAAGTAGTAAGGTGAGCAGTACGGACAGTGGGGATGTTTGTTGCAATTAGATTAACGTATCTAAAATACTAAAATGCTATGGAAAGCGATGAATACAGGTCCACAACGTAAGTGGTGAAGGAAGTAGTAAAGGCTGGCGGCAGTGCAGAGTGGGGGAACCGTTTGAGCAGATGGATAAATGAATTTGTAATACTTAAATGCTATGAGAAAGGAAGGAAACAGGCCAATGACGTAGTAAATGGTGAAGGAAGTAGTAAGGCTAACATCGCAGAGTGTGGGAACTGTCTTTGGCAATTACATTAATGTATCTGCAATCCTAAAATGCTATGGGAAGAGAGGGAAACAGGTCCACGACGTAGGGTGTGGTGAAGGAAGTAGTAAAGGTCAGCAGTGTTGAGTTTGGGAATGGATTAATGTATCTGCAATGCTAAAATGCTACGGGAAGAGACTGTAGACTGGGACGGGTGGCGTCGTCCTGTAATACAGCTACTAGGAGGTCACGAATTGTGGATATTTATAGGGATGCACTGTGGATGCGATGCTCACTGGTGTGGATTAACGTCCGCACTAGTGAGTACTACGACTATCCGCAGTACTATCCTGATAATTAGACCAATTCGTAAATTACAAGGAAAAATGTGGTTCGGATTCCACTATAAACTGTAGGTCCCTTAGTTGCCATTAGCTGTATGGGCTATTAATTAACAGCTGTGTCTAAGGAACATGTCGGCCTTAGTCACTAACAAGACTACAAGATCGCGCCACTCATCCTACACTCATCCTTCACTCATATTTGGGTTAAAATACGCACATAGTGGCGTCCCCATCTTAAATAATTGATAATTGATAATTGATAATATGTTAAAATGATTACGAAGCACAAATCGATACATATTTTCGATACATGCAATCGTTTACAATCGAAATTTACAACTGAGTTGACAACAGCTGATTTTTACTCCATAGAGGCTAAAAACGATTTTTACTCCCTAAATATTAAAAATGCTACTTTAGACCCGCAGCGCATGCATGAAAAAATACTGTTTTTACTGCAGTAAGACAAAAACAATATAATATGAACCCTTGATGACTCCGCTCAATTTTGTGGATGCCTCTGCGAACGCCACCTAGTCATATTGTTGTCAATTGCTCGACATATCGATGATATAATGTACTGTAACACAATCGTAATAGACTAAATGATTGAATCACTTACTAAACAGGCTTATTTGCATGAGCAGAATTGAAAATAACCTGGGAGTCGTTTTGAGAGGTTATCTTTACATAAACATTATTTCGTTTTCTAGCTTTGTTTGTTAATTAATTACCAGATGTCAAATGCTGCTCCGCAGCGTTAAAATAAATATAATATCCGAGAAATAATCAAATTTATGATTTTTGAACGAGTTATACAGTATCTTGAGCTTAACTGATTTAAACGATCAATAGCTCAAATTAAAGCCTATAATTTACTGATCATTTTGAGTCTAAAACATATAGAAAAACATGAACAATACTGGAGGTATTGATTTTTAATCATAGAAAACCCTTATAAAAAATAGTTTTTATGTTGGTTGTTCACCTTGTGTTTGTTTGAAACTCGTCCGATTTGAATAACTAATAGCTTAAATGAAAGGTGGTATTTCACTGGAGGTTCTTAGACTAAAATATATAGGATTATATCATTATTACTTGTGAAATACATATTAAATTGAAGTAAGAATTCGAAAAAAAAATCATATTATGTTTTTTTTCGAGTAATACAGTAGGTAAATATTTACCGATGCTTGATGTGAAAACCTAGCGTGCATGTCTTCATTTTGAGACCTCAATCATGAAAATTGGTCGGGTAGAAGAGCCAAACGAACTCAGCTAAGAGAAACCGAATCTAACTCCCATAGGAAAACATGGGGAGCAATTTTGTTTACGTGTAAGCCGAGTGAGATAATAGATAATTATATGCCGATGCTTGATGGCAAATCTGTGCGTGCATACCTTCAATTTGAGACCTCACTTATGAAAATCGGTCGGGTAGAAGAGCAAAATAACTCGGAAAAGAAAAACCATTTTTTAATATATAAAAACAACACAACATGAAGGATATAAGATGCAATATGACAAAAATATAGTTCATTACACGGGCAAAAAGTGAATTTTAACCCTCGCTCATTTTCCAACTAAAACTTGATCTCGGGACAAAAAGAGTCACTTTAGCCCCTAGTGATGAAATATACTATTATTGCTTTATGACAATTTAACACTGAGTAGACAATTAAAAAATATATAATATGGAAAAAGAATACATTTAACTAGTTTTAAATGCTAAGATACATCGGTAATTACCTATTATAAATCAATGAAATAAATTAAACTATACAGCAATAACAATAAATAGCTCTTGATCTAACAGTTAAGAAACTTCGATAAAAAAATAAAATAAAAATAATGAAACAACCGGTAAATGAAATGTTTCTGAACCGAAAAAAAACACCAAAATGTGTTGTGAACTTGTACCATGTATGGTCAATGCTTGTACCCAATTCAACTCTCGCCTCTGTCTAGTTTGTATTGGTTGTCGTGTGTGTTCCAGGGTAACTGCCAGTGGACCAATGGCGTTGGACGGACTGTCACATTGTCGGACACGACGTTGTTGCAATTGTCTAGTTTGTATTGGTTGTCGTGTGTGTTCCAGGGTAACTGCCAGTGGACCAATGGCGTTGGACGGACTGTCACATTGTCGGACACTACGTTGTTGCAGTTGTCTAGTTTGTATTGGTTGTCGTGTGTGTTCCAGGGTAACTGTCAGTGGACCAATGGCGTTGGACGGACTGTCACATTGTCGGATACTACGTTGTTGCAATTGTCTAGTTTGTATTGGTTGTCGTGTGTGTTCCAGGGTAACTGCCAGTGGACCAATGGCGTTGGACGGACTGTCACATTGTCGGACACTACGTTGTTGCAGTTGTCTAGTTTGTATTGGTTGTCGTGTGTGTTCCAGGGTAACTGTCAGTGGACCAATGGCGTTGGACGGACTGTCACATTGTCGGACACGACGTTGTTGCAATTGTCTAGTTTGTATTGGTTGTCGTGTGTGTTCCAGGGTAACTGTCAGTGGACCAATGGCGTTGGACGGACTGTCACATTGTCGAACACGACGTTGTTGCAATTGTCTAGTTTGTATTGGTTGTCGTGTGTGTTCCAGGGTAACTGTCAGTGGACCAATGGCATTGGACGGACTGTCACATTGTCGGACACGACGTTGTTGCAATTGTCTAGTTTGTATTGGTTGTCGTGTGTGTTCCAGGGTAACTGTCAGTGGACCAATGGCGTTGGACGGACTGTCACATTGTCGGACACGACGTTGTTGCAATTGTCTAGTTTGTATTGGTTGTCGTGTGTGTTCCAGGGTAACTGTCAGTGGACCAATGGCATTGGACGGACTGTCACATTGTCGGACACGACGTTGTTGCAATTGTCTAGTTTGTATTGGTTGTCGTGTGTGTTCCAGGGTAACTGTCAGTGGACCAATGGCATTGGACGGACTGTCACATTGTCGGACACGACGTTGTTGCAATTGTCCGACATTGAGAGGAGAGTCCTTCAAAAAGTCGCCCTCGCTAAACTGCAAGCTCTCAACTTGGGGGTCGCTGTTAGGATACCGTCTGGTAAATAAATGTTTTATACTATGCACGAACATTGAAATAAGATAAGAAACATTGAAATAAGAGATGTTTGTTTGGCTTTTAAAGTCTTTAATTCATATGGTTATAATTTGTTTCGTCATACTTCATCAAAACCAACCATTTTCAATACATTCGTTGCTTGTGTAAAGTAGCTCTTACTCCATAGGGGGTAGGGGTAAAGAAAGACAGCTGTTGTAAACTTCGATTGTAAGCAATCTACCGGGTGTCCATAAAGTCTTGACAACCTTTGAAATAGAATGAGAATGAGAATGAGAATTTTATTTGGTCTTTTAAACATGCAGTTACATGCAATCAGACAAGTCATTTATAATAATCATCTGGCAACAATCAGTTAGGCTAACAGTCCCAGTTAGTAAACTGGGTTGACTTAGCTTAAATCACACCATGCACAAAAACAGGCAAATATAATAAATAAATAAATATTTAAATAATGGCAGCTACAATAGTAGAATAAATAGTGCACAAACTACTCTTATCTACTTTCAAAAAAACACACCATGCACAAACTACTTCAAACTTCAGGCACAGCAAAAGCATCTACTTACAACAGCTGTAGGAATTTCAAAAAATTCTTTTATAGCATACAAAGGATGCGCCAATAACAACTCTTGCAGTTTCCGCTTAAACTGACGAGTCTCCAGGTTTCGTGCTGAATAAGGCAATGCATTAAATAGATTTATTGCTAAGATATCACAGTTGAGTTGAGTTTTTCTAAGTCTAACATAAGGTATATCAATTAGATGTTTATTTCTTGTGTCATGCTCATGCACCTCGGCTCTAGTTACTACATTCCCAATACTATTTTCCTTAAACTTAACTAAAATATCAAAAATAAACAAGCTTTAAACAGTCATCAGTTTCTCAGATACAAATAAGGGTTTGCAATGTGCGTCATAAGAAGCATCAGATATTAACCTAATTGCCTTCTTTTGAGTAGTTAAGATACTTTTAACATCAGTTGCACTGCCCCATAGGCTTAGGCCGTATAAAATTATACTTTGAAAAAATGCAACATAGGCTACTTTTAAGTATTGTTTGGGAACATTTACCTTCAAATTTCTTAATAAATGTACAACTCTTGATAATTTGCTGCATGTCACTGCAATTTGATCATCTCATAACAACTTATTGTCTAGGGTTAAGCCAAGTAATTTAACATGATTGGAATCATTGATAGGCCTATCGCCTATCCGCCTTAGAGAAAAAATCAGACTTTGAGTTTTGGCATTATTTAAAAAGAGATAGTTTGCACGGAACCAGATAGCTGATTGTTCCAAAGAACGTGACATATCCCCTGTTAGCATGGCTTCATCTTTACCTTTACACACAAGAGTAGTGTCATCTGCGTAGCTAATGACAGTTGCGTCAGTGTTATGACTTAGATCATTGACCATGATTAAAAAGAGCAGAGGCCCCAGGATTGAGCCCTGCGGTACACCATGAGACAATGTTTTGGCACGAGAACTCTGCCCTCTAGCAAACACAACCTGCTAGTTTTTGTTCGTAGAATTGATGGGATTATACATGTTTTATATATGTTGTTTAACAGCTGATTTTATCAAGTTTTGTTTGTATATGTTGTTAACCCATAATTTCATTGTTGAGTGTCATACCAAACAAAAGTTACAATTCTTGTGTCTGTCGTAAAAATGGCTACTAAGGAAGAAAAAGCTCAATGTCTTTTGTAACTTAACGAGTCTAATTCGCCTGTATATGTATCGCAATTTTGTATGGATTGATTTAATCGGTTGCAGCTTATTACATGCTTGTCAATAGCTCAACATATTGATAGTATATTGTACATTAACACAATCGTAATGTATGAAATGATTAAATCACTTACCAAAGAACTGCTGGTTTGCATTTGCAAAATTGAAAATAAGTTGCCATTCGTTTTGATGGGTTATCTTGACATAATAATTATTTTCGTTTCTAGCTTAGTTTGTTAAATAATGTTGCAATATGACGAAAAATATAGTTAACCACATGGGAGAAAAGTGATTTTCAACCGCCCTCATTTTCCGACTACGGCTCCGCCTCGTTCGTGAAACTTAAGCTCGGGTTGAAAGAGGGCACTTTATGCCCTAGTGATTGAGATTCTTCAGCTTTCATTTCTAATAGGGCTTAACTAAAAATAAATACTTAAAATATAAATCCGTTATTATTATACAGTACTTGAAGGACGTTTTAATGTAGATGCCTTTGTAGATAATGTGTCGGCGAGCACGGTGCAAAAGCCTAAGCGAAGAGCGTACCTGCTCAAGCGTAAGGCCATCACCACTGGCCTCTTCGACACCAAGTCTGGCAAAGAAGACAAGGAAAAGGGTAAGTACAGTTGTTATATGTGTTTTGCTAAAATGGCTACAATATTTAGTGGCTTTGTTTTGTCTCATAAGGAAATCTTTAACTCTTAGGGATACCATACTATAGTAGCAACAATAATTTTCCCAACTGACTTATCTAGGAAAACCAAATAACTGTGGAAACCTACAAGGTATACCTCTGATTTTTTCACTTTCCCTCCCTATACATAGTATAAGGAGAAAGTATTGTTTTCGTTAAAATTTTCGAGTTTGACTTTTGGATATATATATCCATTTTGGGTCCCCATGAACCCCAAAAAAGTGGTTTTAGAAGTGATGCCTGTGTGTGTGTGTGTGTGTGTGTGTGTGTGTGTGTGTGTCTGGATGTGTACAGAGCTACAGACCACACCTGTAGTCCGATTTTGATGAAATTTGTTATGTAGGTACTAATCTATGGTATCTCCAGGCGTTTTTTCATTTTTTGGGCTAATGGGAGAAAGTATATGTCGGATTGCTGATACCGTTTATTTATATTCGTTTATTCACTGGTGTTTTAAATGTCAGATTTGTCTTCAGTGTTCAGTCAATGGTATTATACGTAAAAAAAATTGCTACTAGTAATTTCAAAATGCACGAACATAACAGAATTTATTTAGTACTATAGTAGAAGTGATTTCTATCAAGTAACTGTTGAGTGCTGTGGTGTTTTCTTATATTCTATACTACACAATACAATACTTTTTAACTGCATAAGTTGTTGTTTTTCAAACGAGTCCACTAATAACTTTTATGCTTGGTGTTCATTTTACCTAATCTAACATAAAATGATATAATACAGACCCAACCTAACCTTACATATTATAGCCTAAATAATAGTGAATAAACGGGATTATATTCAAAACAGTTGTGGTGCATTGTGAGAAAAAAGCAACTTTACAGTCATTAACATTATTTCTTGAGACACGGTCTAGTTAAGTTAAAATATTACTCGCACAAGATGATAATATCCATTTGCAAAACATTATAGTGAAATTAACCTGAAAGATGGTATGGATAACTTTGCTGATGGTTGACAACTTTTGAGGTATTATCGCGATGTTCTGAAAGTCGGCGAGCGTTGCCAGGCTAAATATAGCAGCCACCTGTCAGCGAGTTGACAGACTACCTACACAATGTTGCTGATATAGTCAAGTCAACAAAAGATTACCAGATGTCACTAAGTATCTACAGTAGTTGACATTGAACTTAGCTTCAAGACTAACTAGAAATTGGTTTAGGAAAACATCCCTGTAACACATTTTGGATGAAATAAGGTGCAATGCATGTGTAAAAGATAAAATAATAACACCTTACTTATGCGTGCAGGAAATATAACACATGCCAGAGTCTTTTTGGATAATTATCCTATGTTGGAAAGAGAGATGTAGTATATGGAGTTGTAATCAAGTCGGTGTGTGGGCAATTCACGTTCACAGAATATTGCGGATAGAGGATACATCGTTAAAGTGAGTCATTGCAGACACAAGGGATTACTGACCTCGACAAATATTTCACAACTAGAATATTGTAGGCATAACATATTTTGTAATATGAAATTAAATAGAATGTTAGGACTTGCAAGGACTTTCATCATAATTGACCGGTAACTTTTTGATTACTAGGAGAGAAGTATCAAAGACCAAGTGTATAGAAAGAAATAGTGCATGCATGAGGGTATGGTGAGAAGTAGGGAAAACTGATTACATAAGAAGAAGAATGTCTACTGCATGCTGGATTAAATAAAGAGAAGTAGCACATCTCCGGGAGTGTATGATGAGAAGTAACATATCCCTGAGTGTATGATGATAAGTAGCACATGTCGGAATGTATGATGAGGAGTAGCATATCCCTGAGTGTATGATGAGAAGTAGCACATGTCGGAATGTATGATGAGGAGTAGCATTTCCCTGAGTGTATGATGAGAAGTAGCACATGTCGGAATGTATGATGAGAAGTAGCATATCCCTGAGTGTATGATGATAAGTAGCACATGTCGGAATGTATGATGAGAAGTAACATATCCCTGAGTGTATGATGATAAGTAGCACATGTCGGAATGTATGATGAGGAGTAGCATATCCCTGAGTGTATGATGAGAAGTAGCACATGTCGGAATGTATGATGAGGAGTAGCATTTCCCTGAGTGTATGATGATAAGTAGCACATGTCGGAATGTATGATGAGAAGTAGCATATCCCTGAGTGTATGATGATAAGTAGCACATGTCGAAATGTATGATGAGGAGTAGCATATCCCTGAGTGTATGATGAGAAGTAGCACATGTCGGAATGTATGATGAGGAGTAGCATTTTCTTGAGTGTATGATGAGAAGTCACACTTGCTGGAGTGAATGAAGTGAAGTCGCACTTGCTGGAGTGAATGATGAGAAGTCGCACTTGCTGGAGTGAATGATGAGAAGTAGCACATGTCGGAGTGTATGATGAGAAGTAGCACATGCCAGAGTGTATACTCCATGTTACTCCCGTGTGTGATTTGTTAGAACTCTGTGTATACAAACAGTGCCGTAGGCCGAATATGACGCCTTGGGCACAAATAGCACAAAATAGGCACTCATCCAATAGTGCTACTAATGCATATCTTACCCCCCTGTCGTCCACCTGGGTCCCATTGATTTATTACTCTTAAATCTACCAACCACATAACAACAGTCCCCTAATAGTAGTCAGAAACAGATTGAATCATAAAGTTGTAAGTGCTGTTCTATTTTCTGCCGCACTTATTCCTAACTTTACACCCGTTCTTAATGTTTGTTTTCCTTCTGTGATTTTAATTGTTTACGTCTCGCCGTCATATGTCTCGCCGTCGTCTGCTTGATTCGTGAGAGACGTTTAGGGAATTTATTTTTAATTTCTGCAAGTAATTAATTTCCTCGAAGGTAAGATCGTATTTATGTTGCAGCAAAGAGAAGTAACATCTTCTTTCTTTACTATTCTTATTTATCTTACTACTTTGTGGATGCAGTTAATGAAATCATATTTTGAGTTATTAGTTTAACAAATTTATCTTTTTTACTTCTGCTTTTTGCTATGTTTTACTAAACGTGTTTTTTTCTTGTAGTTAAATGAATTATTCGAGTTTATTCCCCTGTTGTATTTTAAATTATGATTTAGGTTTGTGAGTTTATTTAGAGGTAACACAATAACATTGGGTTGTTTTTAATGAAAGTGTTTGGGCCTTGTAAAACAATCTTCTCATGTTTCCTGCATTTGATGCACTCTTACCCTTGCATTTGAATATATTAAGTTTTAAATAATTTGATATAAACTCTTTAAATACAAACTTATACTTCAATTTGAACTGACACGTCGTCGCTACATGTTTTACTCGATTCAAACAATGGAATATTGAACCAAAGTGAGATTAAATACAATATGGTTCACTGACAATTGAACTATTAGTTTTAGTACATTTGATTTATAGTAAATAAATGCTGCTCCCTACTACCACGCCGTGGTTGGTAATGGTAAATATGTTGGTAAATGTCCTTGATCAAAGAATTTATTTTGATTTACTGAGTTGTATTCATCAGCTATATGGTTACATTTCTAAAAAAAGCGTAGTATACTGTCCATCAGACTCTTCCGATCCACACACGCACAGTATATCTTATTTATTGTTGTCGCACAACACAATAAAACAGCCACGAAACAATCGTCGATTTGATTTTCTGTTTTTTACTAATACATTTGACAAACTGATTTGGTTCCGTCATTGACCTTTTTTTCTTCTCTGCTTCGTCATTACACTTAAGTTTCGGTCAAAATGCATAGAGCCAAATATATATTAGAACTAAGTTAATACATTTGCTGCTGTAACTGATACCATAGCTAAACGTAAATTCAGCCTTGTTCCTTGTCCCCATGCTCTCCCAAGAACACATTTTTCACGTTCACTTCAGCTATCATAAAATCTATTCCAGTACAAATTGCAGGATTAATTTACTCTGTTGTTTCCAGTGGAGGGTGGTGGCCTTGTCTTCGGCATTCCCCTGGGCCAGTGTGTGGAGAACGAGCGTCTCGCCAGGTCCAAGGGTGATTCTCTGCTAGGAGATGACTCGGATTTGAGGCGGAAGTCCCACCACGGAAGTCGCTCAAGCTTCAGCAGCCTGATAGAGCATGGCGCAAAGGATGAGGTAGGACTTATTCACATTTAGAGCATGGCGCAAAGGATGAGGTAGGACTTATTCACATTTAGAGCATGGCGCAAAGGATGAGGTAGGACTTATTCACATTTAGAGCATGGCGCAAAGGATGAGGTAGGACTTATTCACATTTAGAGCATGGCGCAAAGGATGAGGTAGGACTTATTCACATTTAGAGCATGGTGCAAAGGATGAGGTAGTACTTAGAGCATGGCGCAAAGGATGAGGTAGGACTTATTCGCATAGAGCATGGCGCAAAGGATGAGGTAGGACTTATTCACATTTAGAGCATGTCGCAAAAGATGAGGTAGGACTTATTCACATTTAGAGCATGGCGCAAAGGATGAGGTAGGACTTATTCACATTTAGAGCATGGCGCAAAGGATGAGGTAGGACTTATTCACATTTAGAGCATGGTGCAAAGGATGAGGTAGGACTTATTCACATTTAGAGCACGGCGCAAAGGATGAGGTAGGACTTATTCACATTTAAAGCACGGCGCAAAGGATGAGGTAGGACTTATTCACATTTAGAGCATGGCGCAAAGGATGAGGTAGGACTTATTCACATTTAGAGCATGGCGCAAAGGATGAGGTAGGACTTATTCACATTTAGAGCATGGCGCAAAGGATGAGGTAGGACTTATTCACATTTAGAGCATGGCGCAAAGGATGAGGTAGGACTTATTCACATTTAGAGCATGGCGCAAAGGATGAGGTAGGACTTATTCACTTTTTGTTCCTAGAGTACAAAATTTAATTGTTAACAACGATCTTGAAGTGAATAATGAATTTATACATGTTTGCCTCCTGGATTGAATAATAATAATAATAATAGGTTAAATACCTTGTATACGTCCTCAATCCAAGTCTTCTTTTATAATGACTATAGTTTCGGGGCCGACAGCCCCATTGTCAAATTTTCTGTCTTGTTAATTACTGTTTACAGCATTGGTCACCGTTGAAGTACACATATACACATACACTGACACACGAAACATTTATATTTACACGTAACATTGAAAAATTATACTTTTTGGCCGGCCTAAACACTGTGTCAGTCAGTGTACCGGTCCGCACAATGATGTAATCACTTTTGTTTACTTTTGTCTACTACTATTCACAATAATAAGAATGAAAACTGATAGTCAACGCAACTTTAAGGTTGTGTGAAGAAGTAATTTCAGGAATCAGCAAAAATAATAATAAACAGTTGCTAGGCAACGGTGAAAATAAAACAATTCTATTTCAATTTATACTGTTTGTGTAATTAATATGCAAGCGGACAGCTGATTTTGCGGCCCCGGGATGTAAAAACCTGCTCGGTCCCCAAATTACGATGACAGCTGGCATGGCCAGCAAAACGTAACTTTCAGCCACCAATTAACGTATGTAATACAGCCAAAAACATCATAGTGTGGTGAAAAAAATTAACAGTAAACATATATGACCCATAAGCTCTAATTCCATACTAGAAAAACTTAAACGAACAACATAATAACATAATATACAAACCAGTTCGTTCTACCAGCTCTATTCATGTTCATGCTTGCATTTACATTTACACACTTATTAACACACATTGATTTAGGAGACTTAGTTACGGTTATTGAATATATTTTAGAAGCAAAAGAACACTGTTTACAGCTAGGTTTCTATGATGGTAAGAAATCAAATAGTAGTGTAAAAATTAAATGTTTGGTACAATTGAAATCTTGGTATATTGAATTTATACCAACCTTCCATAAAAACCTCCTCCAACCCACAATTGTCAAGCCATGATACGCGATTTCTCTTTCGATTGACGAATTCAAGAATCGGCTCTCCTCCAGATATGTATTTCGAGGTGTGGACCAGATGTATGCCTCCGGATTGATATCTTGTGCTATTTCAGCCCGTGTTCATCATCTGACCACTTCTGCCTGTCCAGACTGATATCAACAGCCGATTTGTTGCCGATTTTTTACGAAGTGTTCCGATCTGTCGGACACACGATGTCGCTGTCGCTTTGTCTATTCCCTGGAACTATTCATAGCACGGCAGCTAATGTTAGCCACTTCAAACTATTTTAGTGCCACTGACCTATATTATTTATTTAACAGCTGATAGCGTTTTGATTAATTTTGTTTTGGCTGTTTGCACGAAAAATACGTTAGCTTGTTTTTGTTGTTGTAAAAGATAAGTTGAAAAATAAAATGAGGAAATTAGTAGGAAAAACGCTTTTTACAAAAATAGTTTTAGGCTAATTCTGTAAAGAAGACCATATTAATATTAATTTTATTCGTTACACTTTAATATCCTTTACAATGATAAGTAGTTTTTTTGCTGGATAAAGTGTAATGATAGTTGGTTTAAATTTTAAAGATCGCTGAATCGTAGATACGTCAAGCTCGCCCCCCACACGAATTAAATTTGATGTTTCTGTTTGGTATATGTAAAGTGAGTTTCAGTATTTAATATCCTTTTACAGTCATTTAATGACATTTAAACTAGTAAAAAATCTTTTTATAAACTTGGCCCTCTTCTCATGTAATGTAAAAAAGAGTAAATGGCCTACTTCAAATTTCTCGAAAAGAGAAGAGCATCCAGTCGACAGTAGCACATTCTGCACCAAAGTTATTTATGTTTTGGGGTTTCCGTAAACCTGCACGAACATATTTTGCTAAAATGTTAAAACTGTAGCTTATAGTGTTTATCTATAAGCAGGTTTTTTTAATTTTGATTACTAACGTGCTTTATCTATAAGATTAACCACAATCTCAATGTTAACACAAGAAAACTATAAACAGGTTTTATGAATCATAACTCCTTAAAAAAAACTAATCTAACGGTAGTTTAAGCAACGATTGCGTAAAGATAGTGTTAGGAGTAGAACAATTAAGGTACGAGCCTTGGCGAGTGCTATAATAACTTCTACGAGTGTCGTTAAAGCTATTAACGAGTTGACAGTATTTTATTTACTAAAAATCACTAGTCAGGAGAGGTTATGTTTTCGTTTATAACCTCTCATTGCCACTGACAGTGATGCAACGAAAAATTGTACCAAACACTAATTGCACCACTCAACAATTAAATTGGTCCGAACAGCTGATTAGTTGAAGTTCGAAGCATTACAATTTTACTTCTTTTCTCTCAATCATTGAACCTCATTGGTCCGTTACCCGTGTTGTTAAGTAAAAAAACTATGCTGTTATCAAAGTAAAACAATGCTGTTATGAGAAACTTAAATTCTAAGAACTGAACGGAAACGGGTACTTTAAAAAACGGTCGTATGTAATAACTTATATTTTAATACAAGAGTAGATAAGAATTGGACATGTAATAATCGTAAGCGTTTTAACTACATTTCCTCCCCAGAACAGTTTACACTTTGTCGCAGCCTAGAGACACGATGCAACACTTTATAGTACCTTGAGCACTTTACAATCTCTAACACTATTTAAACTACCAAGTGTGACAAACTTTCATGGAACACTTGATCTATGTTCAACAATCCGACTGATAAGAGAGCGGAGGAGGCAAAGTGGCTCTTAAACGTTGGCGCTGAGTTTTGCTCATTGTTGATAACAATATTTATGTTGGCACAGACGCCAGTCAAGATCGGTTCTAAACATAGACCACGTGCATATGTCATTCTGTACAAAAATACTACTGTTATTCAAAGTGTCGTCTAAATTTGCATTAGTTGGACAGTTTTGTGTTATTCATTAACTTGTATTTTGGCTTGTTTTTTGTGAAATATCTCTTTTACATTGAGGCCTGTGGAACTTTAAATAAGAAAAGAAAATAGTTTATTTTACCTCTGCTACACCGCCAAGCAATCATATTTTGTATTATTTATTTTGTACCCAAACAAAATCTTTTTGTTTCTTCTAACACACGATTGGTGCTTTCTTTGACTACAAACTTATACTAGAGGAAAAACAAGAGTTTACAAAAATATAGAGATATAGTCTAGTCATTGTCAGTAAATAGATTTCTGGCCAGATATAGAGTATATTCTTGCACCAGTTGCTGTTTGTTATATGCGTATTAATTAAATAATGAGTCTTTCTATCAAAGGTTTGACTTTTGTATCCTTGGGCTTTGTTATGTTTATGTATTTAAATAAATTAAATAAAAGCAGCATTTAGAGGAATTTAATCGGCTAAAATAGTGTCATGTAGCAGACAATCCTGCACTGTAGAACACAAGACTAGGGTCTGACAAATTCATTTTAATAAAAATTACATTGCATAAACACGCTGTAAAATAAAAAAATAAGTAAATTAAATCATTTACTGTTTTTATAATAGATACTGATTTCCCAAAACGCTTTTTAATATACTGACACACATCCTAAATAAATTAAATCGAAACAAGTCCACTTAAAGTGTTAAAGAACTACTAACTCTGAGTCCAGTCATTAGCTATGATGTATGATATAGATACAACTCTCTATATACATATGTGTCTTGTCTTTAACCAACCGAATCTAATCCTCAAACTCAATTCAGCGCTGCTTTATCTGGGTTATGAAATTAAGCTTACACACCTGCCATTGCAGGTTTATACAGGGTGTTCAAAAAAGGTGGGGACATATTTTACCTAGTGATTCATTGGGTCAAAATAAAGAGAAAATCAAGAATAACATTTTTTCCAAAATCGCTTCGTTAACCAGATATCCGCCATTTTGTATTTTTTACATAAACAATTTTATCTTTTAATGTTTTCAACCGATCTTTATGAAACTTGGTATGTAGGTTAAGGTAGAAGAGACCCGTGTTCGAAAAATATTTCATCTTTGCCCCATTTTACAACTAAAAATCTTAATATTTCAGCTATTTATTATTTGATCTTTTTGAACTTGATATTGTTTGATAGGTAATTAAAAATGCTAAATAAAAGTGCTTTTGACATTTTTTCATAAAATCAGCCATTCTTTAGTAATTTAAGTTTAAAAGCTTTAAATGGTCGCCATTTTGAAATTTTAGGTTGAATCAAGATGAAATATTTTTCGAACACGGGTCTCTTCTACCTTAAACTACATACCAAGTTTCATAAAGATCGGTTGAAAACATTAAAAGATAAAAATGTTTATGTAAAAAATACAAAATGGCGGATATCTGGTTAACGAAGCGATTTTGGAAAAAATGTTATTCTTGATTTTCTCTTTATTTTGATCCAAGAAATCACTAGGCAAAATATGTCCCCACCTTTTTTGAACACCCTGTATAAACTCATAGTCTCAGATACGTAACTGAGACCACTTAGTTAGTGGTTTAAATTGGCCCCATTCTATATATTGAGCGTTAACTAATGACTGTCCAATGGCAATCAAGTTTTCCTGTGTTCACAAAATAAAAAGTCATTTGTAAAAGATTAAATTGAACAGCTTACTACCTTCTAGCGGGAAATGCATTCCTGGATATAGTCCAGGTGTACTGTGGACTTATACACACACACATTAACAATAACAGATTAATGTGAACTTCAGTGATGTAGGGCTGCAGTTATTGCATTGTTGATATAATAACTGTCACTGTATTGTTTAGTATTTGTAGCTAGTTGCATCACCTGTCATTCAAAGTTTTAGACACTAATTTGTTGTATAAAAAGTTGGAACAATAGTACTTAGAAACTACTCAAAGCTGATCGTTCACCATGTCTTTGACACTACCTATAAGTGACTTTAAAATAAACAAACCTTCGAGTAACTTCAAAGTTTTTAGACACTTGACTATATTTCTGTGGTTTCAAAACAGCATGAACTTTTGAATTCTTTAGAAAGTTTATATACTTTATTTCTACTATGGATCTTAGGATCTTCTAAGCCTTTAAGAACAGCACTTAAAGATGTTTAGACATAAGCATTTTTTATTTATAAATACACTAACATCTAAGTAGGTATCTTCAAAGTCTTATAACACGTTTTCTGTAGGTTTTGAAACACAACTAACCAAGTGGGACTTGATAATTTTGACTCCTAATCTTATAACCTTGGGTATTTGCAAGTCTTAGGTCCTTATATTCTACATTTTCTTTAAATTACAATGAACCTTGTAGTGGTTGTAGAGTTTTATACAGTTAATTTCTAATACAATCAACCTTTGAGAAAGTAACTGGTAAAACAAAGATAACTGCCGGAATGCACAGACAATGGCTACCAGGTTGCCAGTGCAAGTGTGAGTGTCAATTCACCAATCTCTCTTGGCTGAAAGCCACTCATCCACTGCTCGGCCTATCAGCAACCCAGTGTAATAGGGCAATGCAAAACACATACAGTATAACCAGCATGGGTCGAACTTGTCAGAGGGGCCACGGAATCATTGCTGAAATGGGATTTTAACATAACATTAAATGAATTGTGTAGTAAAATCCTAAAAAATCTATAAATTTAATCTGTATAATCAATTTTGAAATGGAAAAATAATAAAACATTTGCTTTTTAATAATAATAAAACATTTGCTTTTTAAATTAATAAATAACTGGTACTCCAGCCCCATCTTCAAACTCTCTAAGGGTCCTCCACTTCTTCCTTGTCCTCCTTAGTCACATGCTGCTGGCCCTTAACGTCGCACAGATGGTTTTTACCCTTATCCAGTTCATCACTAAACTGTAAGGTTTCTTCAATTTTTCTGTTAGGCGTTCTGCCATTGCTCTGAGCAAGGTCTGAAACTCTTTGCCCAGCATTCCGTCCACAGACGTGACTAGTGGGGTAAAAGATGCATTTCTGGTGTCTGTTATTGTTAAATATTTTTTCTTCTTCTCTCTCTCTGCATTCTCCAACACTTTTTCGTATGGGAGGTTCAAGTACGACGGAGCATCAGTGTCAACGACACGTACATCGAATAATGCTTCCGTCTGAACCTCCCATACACCCCTACAAGCCAAGTCTACTTTTAGTGCTGCAGTATTAAATGACCCTTGCTCAGAGATCATTGGTTCTCTAACACAGTTTCCCCATGCTAGGCTAGCTCCATCAAGCTTCCAAGGGTATCCCTTACTTCATTATGTCTTCTTATTATCAAACCACCTGTGCGACAGTTAAGGGCATGTTCCATATTGAAGTTTTTGCCACAGCCATCACATGAAGAGGGGCTGTATTAGGTATAGGTCTACAGTCAAATCCTGGCAATCACCTGGTGGTGTTTAGCTATAGTTCTATGTGATAATGCCGCGAATCTATACCCAGCCTGAAGTAATGTGTAAATACAGTTTGGAGCTTGACAGCTTTAGACATTAAACCTCCATTTAACCATGGCAGATAAACCATAAGTTGTGTTTCAGAAAGGTTCCTCTGAGAGTCTGATGTCCCCGACGCTGAGTATGCCTGGACTGTTGGACTCCCTGTCAGTAGGCTCGGCCCTGGACCTCAGTCTAGAGCAGGGCGGAGTACCAAACATCGTCAGTTCCTGTCTCAGGCACCTGGAGAACCACGGGCTCCACACCCTCGGCATCTTCAGAGTCAGCAGTTCCAAGAAGAGAGTACGGCAGGTAAGTGAGAACTTAAGAGAAATCTGTGTTAATTAGTCGTCTAGCTCTTTAATGATTTGTGGGATTTGTTTTCCAATAGGTATAAAAAAAATCGAAAAAAATCAAATCGAAAAAAAAATCTACGAAAAAAATCAATTGTTTGTGAGGTATATTAAACCTCTTACCAGAGGCTGCAATATCTTAAGATACCTTGAAGTTTAGCTGTAGACTTTAAAGTTTCTAACTGACTACATTACCATAACCTTTTTGGAATAGTTTTAGATTTAAACACCATGATCACTAAGGTACCCTACTGTTATCATTACAGGGCATTGTTAAAACATCGAAGAAGGCCAATAAATCTTATAAGTATGAGAAATAAAATTGTAACGTTACTGAACCAACAATTTGTAAAGGGAATACAATGTATTCTTGTCTAGTGTTACTTGAGGCAAGGAGTTTAACGACAATGTAAAAAAGTTGGTGTAATTATTGACTATCAATGTAGGGAAATGAATACAAATTTTACCCAGCTAATTTACTGATGACTCTAATAGTAATAATAATCATCTTTATACTTTATACTTTTCTTTGAAATGGCGACCATACAAATGTAGGTATTTTAAGCCAAGTATGAATGGAGATGAGTGTGGGATGAGTGGCGCGACCTTAGTCTTGTTAGTGACTTAGGCCGACATATTCCTTAGACACAGCTGTTAATTAATAGCCCATACAGCTAATGGCAACTAAGGGACCTACAGTTTATAGTGGAATCCGAACCACTTTTTTGCCATGGTATATACGAATTGGCCTAATTATCAGGATAGTACTGCGGATAGTCGTATTGCTCACTCGTGCAGACGTTAATCCACACCAGGGAGTATCGCATCCACAGTGCATGCCTATAAATATCCACAATTCGTGACCTCCTAGTAGCTGGATTACAGGACGACGCCACCCGTCCCAGTCAATCTACTGTACTTCAATCAAAAAACTTTGGCGGTTTAAGGAGAAGTGATTCCATCGCCTCCACCTCACTCTAACTTTGTAAAAACAGCCGAGAGCTGATCAACTGAAATAATTAAGCTAAAAAAGTTGTGGGGAACCCGGGAAAACTACCCAATAAACCACCTAAATTCTGTGAATGGACTAAAATACCCTACTCTGCATTTTCATATAACCTACATCCTCCACAGCCATGCAATATGTGACAATATTTATGATGGTACTGTTTCTAATAATTGCAATGCTATGTCAAATGAGAATATTTTTCTGTTGCATGCAAAGCTGAGAGAAGACTTTGACTGTGGGAAGGAGATGACGATGGAAGCAGACTTATGTCCTCATGATGTCGCAACATTGCTCAAAGAGTACTTCAGAGATCTTCCAGACTCCCTACTGTGCAAAGATCTCTACCAGGCCTTCATTCAGACACAGAGTAAGTATTGTATTCAACAGATCTAGGTTTAGGAACCTACTCCTTGCTCAACCATTTGCCCTACCAACAAATCAACATCAAATCTAGTCTTTTATCTTTTTTTGCTGTTAAATCCCAAATCATCCTCAACGGTTACCAATACCTCTGGTTTGATCTTCAACAGAAGCATACTCCTTTTAAATGCCTCATAACAATACTCAATGTCTTCTGATACTTTGACACTTAAATTCTCCCACTAGGGGAATCACCATAAGTATCAGCTGATAAACGATCATAATAAAAGATTAGAATGCTACAATTAATGGACAAATCTTAAGAAATATAATTTTTCTAATATAATATAATATTTTTCATCTAAAACCCCCTGAATGAACCTTGAGAAGTATGATCCTTATAAAACATGATTTAAAAAAATGAGAAATTAAACTAATTTTTAAATTAATTACAAAATTAACATCTTGTTCCTGGCGTGACTTCCCTTTTCTGCTGGTATCTAACCACAAATGAGTTAAATTTATCTCATCCGATTTCTACTACTCCTCCGAATCAATGCAGAGATTATCTGTAAAACGGTAATTCGTGGAGAAAGAAAATTACACAATACTTATTGCCTGTGACTGTTAATTCACAGAAAATGTAATATTAAATTTGTGTATTGATCACATAAAATATAATTCATAAATTAAATTATTTCTTTCATTTTATTGCTAGAAAATCTCAGTTCACAAACAATACACCCCATTAAAACATAACTTTTAATGCAGATATTGTCATATTATTTCAGCAAATACATGTAAATAAATTTAAACTTCCATTGCAGAATAAGGGTAATGTTGTTTTTGGAAACTTAATGAGAATTCTAAAAATGACAATAATTTCAAAATAAAAATAATATTTAGTCTACTTATGCCAATTTTATCCAAACAAATAGAAGTATTTTGAAAAAAATGTAATTTGTCCGTTATTCCCTATCTGTGAGGCTATGGAAACCTAAATTGGAGCCATTTTGTCACCAATACACTAACACTAACTTCGTTCCCCCCTGTGTTTCACAATTCTTAAAACTAATAACTGTTACTTTTGTAATCTTTAAAAAATAAACTTATATATTGGCTTAGCATAATCGAAAAATTTATTCATTTTTGTCTGGCAACCTACTGAAAGCTGAACATGATTCTTCTATAATGGAACATTCAAAACAAGACAATTCTCGAGTTACATTTAATTCAAAATTCAAGTTATTATTAACTTCTGACGTTTTCAACTCCTGAAAACTTTTCTAATCTGAGAAACAAGCTTTTCTGTGGTTCTGAATCAGGTAAGTTGATGAAGTCAACTGTTTGATTAACAAGTTATATTACGTTGTTTTAATAAAATATTTTCAATTATGGTTTAATAACAAGGTTTTTAGATACATATTAGGTGGTAGAGGTGTGTGGTTTAGTTTAAGAATTTTATTTCACAAAAATTGTTCTGATATAAGTGACTTTTTAATTCTACTTTTCTGACTTTTTAGAATTAATCAACTCATAACAATAATTTATTCTTTCTCTGTTACAAAAAAAAAAAAAAAATATAAATATATATTGTTGTCTAAAACACTTTCCAAACACATTAAATAACATATTACTAAATGTTATTTCTGCAACCACATTAAATTGGTTTGAAATGTTTTTTTTATTTCTTGTAGCTTTGTCAGATAGAGAAAATATTCATGACAATGCGCTGTTATAACAATGCCAGTTTGTTTCATGTATGAAACAAACCATACCATATTGTTATGGTATTATAGTTACTGGTAATGTAAGTATATTGGCATATCCAGGGTATTATTTAAGGTGTCTAGGCGGCACACTAGAGGAGTAGGGTAATTCACTATTTATTTCAAGTAAGTTCAAGGATACACTGATTAGATGTGTGAAAATGTGTAAATTATCTGTTTGATTGTAGTATAAGAGTGTTGTATCTATGACTATTAATACAACTTGACATTCCAATCCCCATGTTAAATTGTTGCCAGATTTTTAGTCAAAATCGTTGTAGTTGATGTGAGCCACCAACAGATTGTGCTGATCTAAATCCCTAATTTCTGTCGAATAGAAGACATTTTTTACCAAGTTAAACTAATGATTTACTGTGAGCTATAGCAACTGGTATGACCAATCAACTTGGCCAGCAACAAAATATAAGTTATGAAATAGAACTTGTAGACACTAGCGCATTCTGTGACTGGCTCACACAACTATTTTCTTTTTTATTCTGTGTATTATTGTAGTAGTATACAATATGGTTTTGGCTAAAATGTATGAGTGTATACATTGTATTTGTGTTTGATTGTAGTACGTAGATACTTGCTGTTTACACTAATGTACACTTGTACACAGAGTTTATGTGTTTGAATATAATAGTAACTATGTGATGGTGTTTTAACTAATGTAAAAGTGTAGGCTTATAGAATATCTGTGTGTTTGGTCATATGAAGGTCTATTAGCTAGTTTACCTGTATATGTTTTGTAGTATACAATGGTGTTTTAGCTAATGTACGAGTGTATACAGTGTATGTCTACAGGGATACGGAACAGGCGGTTACAGCAAGAAGCATTGCAACATCTGGTCCAACTATTGCCTGTGCCCAACCGAGACACTCTGTACGCCTTGCTCTGTCTACTGGCTGAAGTGGCCCACAATTCGGAGGATCACAAAGACAACTCAGGTATGAGTAAAACTGTAGAGTCCATAAATCTTAAATTTGTAGCCAGTTACAGAACAAACATGTGGATGAATTGAACCATTTTAGTGTGTCACAAGTGTTAGTCTTTCCCCAGAACTGCACATATGTATATGACCGAATCCCAATATACATCGTTTTAAGATATTATAAAACAGCCACTGAGTACGCTGCATATATTTTTACAATCCACTAAGAAATCAGGACTTACAATGAATTGGACTACTGGTACATAGTTGAAAACTTTCAGCCATTTCAGTTTGGGCTTCCTAAAATTAGGACACTTGAGATTATTGTGGGGTCATAAACATCTTGAAAGATACAACACCTCTTATATACTTGAAGATATTTTATATTGCATGTCATTGTTGGGTAGTTATATTATATTTCCAGTTCTGTACTGTGGACAATGCGAGTTTGAATAAAAAACATAAATAAATAACTTGAATTTTCTGTACTTTGCATTACGTTGAGTTACTTTAACTTTTTTACAATCTTGGAATGGCTTTATTGTATAGCAAATTCATCAGGTAGCCTGTGTGAATGCTCAATTAATTTAGTTATCTTGGATGCAAATAAGTAGTTTGGCCAGTTTCAGTGATAACAATATATTTGTAATAAACGACCAAGATGTATGTATCTGTATTTATTATGGATTCAGAGAGAACATCTTTAACAAACTATTTTGATTCTAGGAGAATGGGTGGTGGGCAACAAGATGGACAGCAACAACTTGGCGACACTGTTTGCTCCCAACATCCTGCATCCTTGCAAACCTTCTGGGAAGGATGAGTTGAGTGCGGAGCGCACAGAGGAGCGCAGCGACGCTATCAATGTCATCCGAGCGCTCATCGACAACTATCGAGATCTCTACCTGGTAAGTAATACACTGTTAACCAGATTTGGATTGGTTTAATAGAATAAATGGAAAAAATAAACTAATATACACATAATAATACATAACATCGAAAGTCTCTCTACTCTGTGATGTCCATTTCATTCTTAGTCTGCCAAACAGTCTTCTTCCTTCTAGGTTACCTAGATAGACATTTTATTTATTGAATGTTCATTGTCATTCCATCTCATTCTTGCTTTCCGCATATAAGTCTTAGTGATGACCATAGTGACTGGGTTGGTATATATGAGGAATCTCCATAAGTTAAATCCCCCGACCAGCTCATTGTGGTCTAGAAAGTTTAATGCTGATACCCGCGAGGCTCTTCACTTTTTTCATTACTATTTTTGTCAATTCCTACCACTATATAGTTTTTATCTTAACCACATTGATTCACAATCAGGATTATTATGTACAAGGATAGGGATCCGCTACCTTACCTGGTAGATAGAGTCCAGATTAGCCTTGGTAACACATACAAAACACATTACACAAAACAGAAAACTTAAATATTTCATCCCAGTTGGGGACTTCAGTGCTTCATCAGAAGGAAGAAGAAAAGACTGGCAGTCAAAGTTCAAATATTCACAATCAAAGTTTCTTTAACTTTAATTATGTCTGGATGGAAAATTGGTGATGTTCCCAGGCTCGTCTTTGAAATGTACGTACAATCTTCTTCTAGCTATCTAAGCCACATATATATACAGTAGAACCTCTTTAATCCGAACCCCCGTAATCCGAACCCCCGTAATCCGAACGTCCACTAATCCGAACCCCTCATTGCTGTACTCTATACACAGTACAGCAGTTCTTTATTGTATACTGTATTTAATTTACAGTACTGTTTATTCACCATGTTAACTACATTATTAAATAAACACTGTATTTTACTTATAAAACATTTTTTCACTATTCCCAAAAGAATGTTGATAAATTTTAGCTATGTTTTAGCTATTGTTATGTAAAAACAACAATATGTTCTGTAATCCGAACTATTCAATAGTCCGAACTACCCCTGGTCCTAATTGGTTCGGATTAAAGAGGTTCTACTGTAATATGTTAGGTATTAAGTATGCTATAATTTTGTATGTACAGGTTTTACACCTAAACATTCATCATTGTACACGTGTGTCAACTGGCAATGGATTCAATAGGGGTTTCATGTATCACCCTACCCATAGAAATCTATAGAAGACAGGTTATAATTGGCGGGGGTGTAGACCTAGTTATTGGAGACTATAACAAGTCTATCGCAAACGGGTGGGAACTGTGGAACCGACCACAGTAGTGGTGGAAGAACTAAAGAAAAGAACACAACACTGATGATAGATTTCAACTTGCTGGCTGTTAAAGACTTTAATTTACTACCTTAATTTTATCCTTGTACTCATCCTCAAGCTCTCAGTTCTTTCTTATTCTCCACCCATCCTGATTTTGGATTGGGCTAAAGATTTTTCATTAATATTGAATGGGTCCAATTCAAATAATATTAACTATTGCTCCGTGTTTAGTTAGTGCTCATGTTTCTGATTTACAACGCAGTAGTGCCCTTCCGGGCTTCGGGGATGATTTGAATGATACAATTAATTACAGTATATATTTTTAGAAAGCCATTTAGACCTGAGTTTTTTCCAAAGGAACAGTGCGTCCTTGAAGTTGTGCTGTTGGGAACCAATTGTTTATTTTTTGTTTCTTTCCATTGTCATTAATTGCAAAAACCCTCAGGTAGGTAGTTAAAATCTGATACATTTTTTAAAGAAAAATCATGTACAAACTTTAATGTTTCAAATCATCTACGGTATAAAAAGAATAAATTATGAAACCAAATTGTCTTAGGTAAGTACCCTATTATTCCATCAAATTTTTATTTGTATCCTCTTGTGCAGGTTTCAGCAGATTTGCTTCACGAGATTTACGTCCACATGATGGACTCTCATCCTGAATTCTTAGACCAAATAATGCAAAAAAAGGATTTAGCTACTGAAGAGTAAGTTTGAGCATTGTAGTAAAAATAATTCAATTATAAAATAACTGTATTTTATAAAGACATTAAAAACCTATTTACTTGACATATTCTCATTGATACTCTCTTTGTCAATAAACTTTTAGGGAATTTCCCATGTAGGGAATAATCTATTCCCTATATCTATTTCTACGGTAGGTAGAATCGATCTATTCTACCGTAGGTCTCATGGTAAGACCTAGACCCGGGACCAATTACTTTTTGTTTTGAGGTCCCCAAAGGCCAGAAACACCCTCCGTTCAAATTCATATATGCATATACCGTGGGTAGTTATATACATATATGTTAGTATACTATAGTTAGTTATATACATATATGCGATGATTCATATATGCATGGTATAAGTACCGTGATATAATTTTGTTGTCAAAATAAAGGTACGACTGTTCTCTAAGGAAATGTTTTTTTTATAAAAAACCTCTAATTTCATCCAAAAAGAATTAAAATGCACTTCCCTAGAGAACAGTTATACCATTAATAATAATTTGACACCAAAATTATTTCACAAGTTTAACATTAGTCTTATGGGACTATCTTCAAGGTCGCAGCACTACTGAAGACTCCTTGAAAAGTAAATTTACTATTTACTTAGGAAAATAGACATAGGCCTATAATCGTCCGATAAGGTCAACTATATAATTGTCCGATCCCGCTGGTTTGCGACCTCGTTGAAATAAACTGAGGTTTACATGTTTTGTACCAAATTTCATCGAAATCAAAAAATTTTTGTTTGAGTTATATTGGACACACATATTCTACATTATATACGCATATTAAAATACATATATGCAGTGCTCGAATTGTGGGGGAACGTGGTGAAACAGAGTTCGGGTACCTCTTTCGGCAAGATAAAAATATTTGCATTAATAGGTACATAATAGATTATAGTTCCAGCACCTAATTTTTCACAAATCGAGCGCTGCATTTATGTATTTTAATATAAATATGTTTGTTTACAATATAACTTGAACAAAATTTATTCAATTTTGATGAAATTTGGTACGAGTATGTATATGTGAATTTGAACGGATGGTGTTTTTGGCCTCTGGGGACATCAAAACAATAAAGTAAATCGGTCCGGGTCCAGGTCTTAATATGCGACCTCTACAGTAATAGCTTATTCCCTATATGGGAAATTCGCAAAAATCTCACATTTAAATTTAAAAAAATCTCAAACAGGATGAAAAATAATGATGTTTTACAAATATTTATTTGTTCTGAAACTGTGAAAACTCATCATTTTTATTGTCTTTGTTTAAACTAACACTTTTGGAATTTTATAATGTTGATTATGTGTGATTGAAAATATCAAAGATTGAGTTATGATGTTAGGACGTTCTTATCCTTAATCAAGCCTATCTATACTTTTTTCTTTAAAAAAGTGGCAACCAATCTAACGCAAGCAACACCATTATGCAATTAATACTCTACTTTGTTGTTGATTGTAGAATTTAATTAATTTTCAAGGAAATAGCTAGGTATACTGTAGTTTTTGTTACTGGACCCAAGTTCTTCTTTGCCAATAAACCAACTTGTTATTGAAACTTGTTGATTTATATTTATACTTTTGTGTTATTAACTCTTGCTGAATATTCTGTTACCTTTTTTTTGACTTATACCTTTTACATTCACACTGTATCATTATATTTTGTGCTGATGTTTTTGTGTAACCTCCTCCAGGACTGAGGATCTAGACAACAGCACGGTGTCGGACGAGAGGTTCCAGATCTCTCAGGAGTCACTGATGGAGCGCAAAGTCTGGTCACGAGAGGCGTTCACCCACGAGACTGCGGGGATGGGTGGACCTGACCTGGAGATGAAACCTAGGTAAAAACAACTGTCAACTAATTGAAAATTCTTCTTAAGACGGTGACACACTATCGATCTTTTCCCCGAACAAGACCCCGAACCGAGCAGGGAGAAGGGAGAAGGGAGGTCGAAGGGAGCATGTTCGATAGTGTGTCACGGGTCCGTACACCGATCCAGACGGTGAACCAGACATCAGGCCGAGCAGGGAGACGAGCGCTCTGGAGGCGGTTTTTTGACGAAAGATCAAAGAAAAGATCGGTCCGATGTACGGAGTGATGTACGATAGTGTGTCACGGTATATTTTTGCCCCGTACATCGTCGGGAGCGCCGCACCGAGCAGCCGCCTGCGCTAGCGTTGATAGTTCTAATTTAATATGGAATTTAAACTCTTTAATTGCTAAAATAAATAAATTTTGGGTAATATTTTGCCGTTATATATTATGGGCATTTATGTTGTAATTTTGTTGTTTGTTTGGTCAAGGTTGAAAATGTATTTTACAAGTTGAAACCGTTAAATCAATGATACCAATGATGTTTAACTTGAATTTAGTAATTGATGTTATACTTTAATTCTTTAAAAATTAATATAAACATAAATATTATTAAAGGCAATCAAAATTATTATTCTGTAACATGTTATTTCATGTTTTATTACTGTTTTAGTATTACTGCCTCTGCGCTCTCACTCGCACACGCTCTCCATCTCTCTCTAAACTCCCTTTGCTGCGCTCGGTAGAACTTGTCTGGTCTTGGTCTTGTTCGGGGAAATGTTCGGATTGAAAATTTGCAGATTTTTACCTCCCTTCTCCCTTCTCCCTGCTCGGTTCGGGGTCTTGATCGGGGAAAAGATCGATAGTGTGTCACCGCCTTTAAGTTGATACACGTTGGCATATTGATTAGTGATACCTCAGAGAATAAATATAGAGAGTAACCAAGATAAATATACAGGAGGATTCAATGCTATAATTAAGTGGTGTCTAACACTAGAACTGGTCTCTAAGGCAATCACCCCCCCCCCCCCCCCCCCAGGCCATCATGTACTACAATGCTCATGGTGGAGGAAGACCCTCCACAAGAAAATAAATCAAAAGTTCCTCCCACACCTTGAAATTTTCAAATTAACATTTTGAAGCCTCCTAATAAGGCCCTGTACACATGAGCGGGAACCGCGGCGGTTGAAATTACAAAGGAGCAAATGGGACCTTTCACATGGAACCGCCCACTTCCAGTCAACCGCAACAAACCGCGGCGGTCGTAGATTTCCCTGGCATGAGAGCGTACACATGAGGATGGTAGCCGCCGCGGTTGACTTGCGGTTGGTACTAGGATCACACAGCTCGCCCTGTGGACATCTACTGTGTTCACTACGTGATAAGTGATCTTTTACATGAGTCAACAGTTCATAAAAAGAGTTTACACTCAACTGAAAGTAGTTGAAGAACTTAGTAGGGTATTCTCTTATTTTTGGGTACAGAGTAACAAATGAACCCAAGGTTAATCTGTCGTCTATTACTGGGTGCACCCACTATCTCCTTTGTCGTCTTCGCCTTGCTTTTAATCTTCGATGCAATAACCAAAGGCAGGTTAACTCTTCCAGCTCCATAACTGTACTGGCTGTTGTGTCCAAGGGTTTTGAGGAGCCAAAAATCACCCCACAACTGCGGCGGCAGCCGCCGCGGCTGCCGCAGCCATGTGTACGGTCTATGCGGCCGTCATGGCGGTTACCTGTGCCGCCCTCATGTGTTCAGGGCCTAATACAGGACTACACATTCCCCTTTAGGATAAAACTTACATCAAAACGAATTTTAAAATTTCAGACATATATTGCATACATTAAAAATAATTCTGATCTCTATTTCAGTAAAAAAGAAAAGGAAAGAACTCGAGAACGTGTGACCAAAAAGCGTTGGAGAGAAGAACAAACAATGACAACAAGAAGAAGAATAGACTCTGACCAATCTACTCCCTCAAGGAGGACCTCTTCCACAAGTCATCCTGATGAATCTCTCTACATTGAGGATCCTATGGTGATTAAAGATAACATTTTTGAATGAGTGACAATAGTTTTGGGGAAAATCTTCTGCTACTCCTAGTACCAATCCTATTCCAAATCTGATTTGTATTAGTAATAGTGTAGCTTATTTAGTTGTAAGGCAGAAATTTTGTTTACAAGTTCATAATAAAAAATGGCCTCTGGATGACAAAATTTAAAAATAATGATTTAAAATGTAGTCAATTTAAATTTTTCTGCAACTAAAGTTAGTTTAACCAAAAAATGTTCACCTTTTCAAATGCAATAAAAAAGCAACCTATGAATATCTATAAAGGAATGGGTTTCTTCTTTTTTTGAAGAGATATAGAGTTTAGCTAGGTTACCCGGGAATCAGCGAAGCTACCCAAGGATTTTTTATTCTTTCAGATATAGTATATTTAATTTCTGCATCAAAAGTGGCATTTTCTGGTCCAATCTCTATTTTAATGTGTGAGGCAAAACCAAACTGATCTTATCATTGCCGAGCATGTGAAAGGGAGTTTTGCGTACCAAAGCCAAGAACAGAACTTATTGGAGCAATTGCCAAAATTTTTTTTTCGATACCTATATAAGTTAAGAACAAAACTCTTTCATCACAACTTAAAATACTCAAATGGAAAACAAGTGACCTCGGTAAAATTAAAACTATTATATTTCATATTTGATATTATTTTTTAATGTGGAAATAAAATAATGTATTGTACAAAACATACGTAACAATGAAACCGTTTTAAGTCCAAGGTTCGAGATTAAGTTTATTGCACCGTAAACACACACTATGTTAAAACACAGCAACACTAGCTTATGTCTATTCTTGTGCCGTTTTACATTTACATTGTTGAACAGTCAAAACAACTGATTTAAATTGTAAAAATAAATGGTAAATTATTACCAGCAAGCGTGGTGGGCAAATGGAGAAATTTGATATATTATTGATTATCAATAATATCAATGTCCCTTAAAACAATCAACTTTAAGAGCAAGGGAAAGTAAATTGAGAGTAAGGTAAAATCAGTTCATCGCTTTTCCCATATCTGAATTAGAGCTTGGGCAACAATATTTACAAATGTAATCAAAAATAGTTATTTTCTGTATGGAGTGATGAAAATTCATGTTTAATCAAGAAGAAATATTGTTGGTTTAAATTATAAATTGATGATTCTACTGAAGATTTTAAAAAGTATTTCAAACAGTCCACAGCATATTTCCTTTACAATATAAATTCACTTAGGTCGATTATAAAAATGTATTCATCATGCCATAGCTACTTCTCTTAAAAATAATTTTTATTTGAACTCTAACAATTGATGCAGAGACAATTTTCTCCCAAACAAAAGCTGTTTCTACAGTAATCTCAGTGAGGGACACAGAGCTAAATATAACAAGTGTCTCCACTGCATACCTGAGCTTCCGAATACTTTACTAAGAAAATACACAATTCAAAATCTACATTCTGGAAGCCAGCCACAGTACACCCACTGAACTCATATTATAAATATCTCGATGCGACCTCTTCCACCGTCCAAATATTACTTATTAAGATGGCAGAGAATCAGAATCCGGTTTTCACCAGGTATTTTTTTGGCCAATAGCTCGTTACATATTATTTTAATTGTACGATAATGAGTGATAATTAATGTCCATTAATCATTAGGAATCCAATTGGGGACTTCTTTTAGCGAATTTCCCCTATAGGGAATAAGCTATTACCGTAGTACTCATGGTAAGACCTGGACCCGGGACCGAATTACTTTTTCGTTTTGAGGTCCCTAGAGGCAAAAACACCATCCGTTCAAATTCATATATATATATATTTAAATATGTGTCCGTAAAAAAACAAATAATTTACTACATTGAATCGTTATCAAGCGCCTAATCGTTACGGAGAAAATTCCAAAAATCTGTAAATTTGAAATTCCCATGTTATTTTTATGGAGAAGTAAACTGTTCTAGTTTGCTTGTTTATGAACACATTTTGATCAAATTTGGAAAATGCATTCATTTCATACTAAACTATTAAAATTAAAAAAAAAAAAAAAAAAAAAAAACACCTTTTTACCCTCCCTGTTGCAGCAAACCTAAGCACTCGTTAAACTAATGTTATTTAAATAGGGAATAAATGTGATATTTTTAAGGAGACTTTAGTGTAAATCCAATCAGGCAAATGGAAATTCACTCAGTATGCAGGTTTGCTGCGGCGGGGGTATTTTTGGAATTGAATAATATTGTGTGCTATGGTAAAAATCAATAGTATCATTTATCATAATTTCATATCCAATATGGTAAGACCTGGACCCACAAAATATGTGAATAATATTCGAAGGATACTCCATCTAGACTCCTCTAAGGAGACTTTATTCAAAACGCCAAAATATGATCCATCAATACCAAAACGTGATGCTCTATCATGGACATCAAAGAAAGATTCACCCATAACCCAAAAAGTTTGCATTTAAAAGATTAATGGTTCATTCTTCTGCTCCTAATTTTACTTGAAAATAATGAAGATAATCCCTATTACAGGTGGTTAGGGGTAAGGGGGGAGAGAGAGGGGTGATCACAGCTACACTTAAGATACCTGTGCCTGCCTCTACATCCCTCACACTGGGTCTGGACGACTCGGACATCCCATACATCGAAGACCAGGATAGGCATCATGGTAGGTCAAGTCCGTGGTGAATTTGACAAATATTCAATGAAATTCTTATTCATAAAATTCAATCTATTTTAATGAGTAGTATTCTGATAAAAAATATTGCAGAAAAGCATATTACTAGAAAATAGCATGAAATACTAGAATTATTCTTGTAGGATGTAAATATATAACAATAACTATGTAAATATAACACAAACAGAAAAGCCAAGCTCACCTTTATGTTAACTGTCACTTGTTTGTAAAACATAACCACTATTCAATTGTAATTCAAATGCACATTTTGAGATTGGAATGTAAGACTAATAGGTTGATTCCCAAAAACCATTCAACACACAATGAATATTTTTCATACATCCTTTAACTCAAAAACCATAGATATTACACTCATACAGTAAGTACTTTAATGACAGAAACACATACCTAGGTGAGTAGGCCTATTTTATGCTGAAGCACCGGGAGACCAATCTTTGCTTGGATTGAAAATAAATATCTATTAAATTAGTTAATTGTTGAATCAAAAATTTACAAACCTTCTCATCACTCTGTAGCATTTGACAATTGGGTAAATTTGTTTTTCCAGTTTCACCATTAAGTGGAGCAAGGATAGCTCAGTATTTAACATTTTCAAACATTGTCCGCTTGCAATGTGGGTGCATCTCATCCACCGACTTGGAGACTTTATAAGTTTGAGGAATCTCAGACTTCATTGCACTGACGTTCTTAAAAGTGTCGAGCAGCGATTCGTCGACTATCCTGCTCAAAATGATAAGCCTATTGTTCATCATATTGCTCGGCCATAAGATCTGAAATTATAGTATTCATTCTGATAGCCCCTGGACTACGTGTAAATGACTTTATAGGCTTACCTCCATCAGTAGTCCGAAATTGTGTCTAACTTCAAATAATGTTGTTCAAAGCTGACATGTTTTGTTGCAATGCAACATCGTCGGAGCTTCATGTCAAAAACATCAAAATAATTTACACATACAGTACCACAAAATAAAACGATAGCGCTATAATGACACGGCGCGGCAGCTATCTACCTGCTGTCGCGACGTGTCATGATAACGCTATCTTGTTATTTCGTGTCTAAATGTTCCATGTCCCATGTCTGTTTTTAAAGTGAAATCACCTAATAATTTACTCGAACAGTTACAGTAAGATCGTCTGATTCTTCACAAGCGTCCACGTACATCCACCACGTCGCTATTGCCACTGATTCAGCCGTCGGTTCGTCAGTAAGTCCTCCTCGTAACTCTGTCAGCAGTTACAGCAGTGGAGGAGTGTTTAGTTCCCCTCCCTCTTGGGCTTCCTCCCCACCCACCTCCCCCGATTCCACTGTTTCCCCCTCCTCCTACCTGCCTGAAGACACCCCTGCCACCACTGCACGTATTACCATTCCTACAAAACGAACACCTGATCCTCAGCAAAGGTAATTGGTTTGTCTTGATTATTCTCGTTACATTGAGACAGATAACAATACTGTGTGTTTTATCCTATGAGTGAATGATGATTGAAAGTGGAGCTATATGACAAAGATTAGCTGTTTCTACAGCCAGAGCCATTTATTAGATTGTAATGACCAAAGACAGGTACTGTAGGTAGGTGTGGATTAGATGGGATCTTTGTCAAAGTGTGTGATCACATTTTATGTAGTATTTAAAAGATCAGATTTTTATTAACATTTATAGCCATTAGGTTGCAATTGTTTTAGAATATGTTACCTCATAAAAAAGTGTGGTTTGCACCCTAAAAAAATATATCTACAGTACCCGTAGTCAAACAGTTTCAAAATGTTGCTGTGCCAACCACTCAATCACAATTAAAAGTTATAGAAAACTGTGTTTGGGTACAATGGAATCTAGATAACAAGGCTGTGGGGAATTTATGTTAATTTATAGGTAAGCAATGTGGACTTCATTTCTGAGGTGTTGCCTTCCGGATTACTTAACAAATACTAATCTAGAGGTTAAATACCTTATTGCCAACGTAATCCTTGGTAGACTTAATGGCTACCGGTTTCGACACACTTATGGTGTCATTGTCAAGCCTAGACGTGTTTTTTCGCTCCTAGGAGGTCATCATAAAGTCTTCAAAAACACATAACGAGACGAACAAATAACAAAAACGAACACGAACACTCATTTTTAACGAATAAAGTATGGCCATACAACTCACGGCGCGGTTGCGGGTTCAGGGTGTAGGTTTAGACTGACCGTCGCCGTGTCCTTCCCCTCCCCTCCTATCCTTTGTTGTTATCAGTGCCATTGTCTTCTGATATGTTTTGAATGTGGACTGTATTAAAGTTATTTTAAAGTTGGAGACACTAACCTTTTCAGATATAACTGATGTGTAGACTAGGGGGCCCCCTTTGATGATTCCTGAAATGCTTATAATGAGGATAAGTTCCCTTTTTCACACAATACAATGTTAAGAATCATTTCAATTGTCTTTATATAATTAGTTATAAGCCAGCGGTAGTTAGTTATGTTGGTAGATGTTTATGGAATTTGAAAATGTATGAGAGAGAGAAGGCATGTTAACTCCTCATACCATATTACATTGTATGGTACTTTAATAAAAAAAAAAAAAAAACTAAGCAAAAAAGGAAAACAACGCGAACAGCGCTGGTCAAATGTTTTTAGAAAGCATAGTCCGACCAATGCCACGGAAACTTTGGCTGTGGTGGGAGATTGGTACTGCTCTGCCCCCGCACACACCGCTGGCAAACAAGTCGTATGCTTACAGTACTTCACTACATCACTTCAACGTTTTAAATGCATTAGAAAACCATAATTTTTTAAACATATTTAGAAAAAATAACACAATCTGTTTTGACAGGGTAACCATCCAGAGGGTAACGATCAAGACTGCCGGTGAAGTTCAACAGGTGAAGCAGACGTACAGCCGCCAAGAGTCATCCAGCTCATTGTCTCAGACGCAGACACAGGAGAGAGAACGACGTCGAAGCAAAGACTCACCTTACCAGCGGCTGGGAGTGGGGAGTGGCGAGAAACTGTCAAAGAGTGCGAGCTCTACCGCAGTGACGCAAGCGGTAGAGCGAACGATCCCGATAGTGCAGGAAGTGAACCGAGACAGGACATCCACCCCGAGCATTTCCAGTATAGGGGGGGCGGTCATGCGATCAAAGACGGCCGACATCGAGCGAATGCTCAAAATACAGACTACCAAACAAAGTAAAAAGAGTACGAGTGAGGAGGATAAAAAGATCAAACGGAAGTACACGGACAGTCGCCACTTGACGAGATCTCTCCCTCAGGCTACGGAGACGGCCGAAACTGCGACAACGTCGACAACAACCACACTGTGGAAGCGGAGGGAGATAATTTCCAGTGAACCAAAAGAAAGGAAAGGGTTACCAAATAAAATGTAAATACTGTGTAAAGACAGTGCCTTCGATTAAGTCATGTTTATATTAGATGTTATTTTCTTTATTAAATTAAACTATATTATGCTACAAAAAGTCTATGGTTCCTGAATGGTTTTGGTTTCATGAGCTACCGGCATTTTAGAGAAAATGATAATTTTCTTAACACATTTATAAACTAAAAACTTCTTTTTGGAGTTTCCAATCTATCAAATGTCTATTTGAGGTCATATATCTTTATTACCATCGTTCAATAACAAATTTCTTTGTGTCAAACATACAAAAATATTTATAAGCTATGCAACGTTCCAATAATAGTCTAAAAACTCGGGCAAGAACATAAGAATTCCAACTATTTAGGCTACTATTAATTTCCATAACAACAATTTCTTGAACTGTAGCCCGTTCACAAAATTTTGACGTTTAATGGGAAGTTTCCCACTTTTTTGCTTAATGTATACATTGCAGCTGATTGAAGTTTTGGCAAACCTGCACAGCTGTTGCGCTATTGTTTTAATAGTAGGATTATGTGGAGAGGACAGAATGTTGTAGACATAACTGTAATAGACTTCAAAAAGTGTGTTTATATTTCTAGGTGTCTAAACTTTCTCATTTGTCAAATTGTGTTGTAATGAGGTTATTGAAAATACTTCAAAATAAGTGATTATGACAAGTATCTATACAGGGTGAGTTTTAAATGAGTTCCCCCCCCTACTTTTTTCTACATTTTTTAAGATATAAACTCCGAACCACGTCAGATCATTGTAGAGTAGTAAGTACTTCATTTTGACTGGGTTTACATTTTTTGCCGCCATCTTGGATCCACCATATTGGATACAAGGTTATTTTTTCAAATGTAAAGGTAGGGTTGTGACCCACCGTTTCAAACTGGATTTTTACGCTGAATACGATTCTGCAATCCGTTTTTAAAAATATTGATCCATTCTAAAGTTATGAGAACTTTTTATAACTTTATTTTTAGCCCATTATAACATTGTGCATTTACAAACTAAGGCCATAATCTCAAAATAGTGCTAGATAAAGATAAGTGGACACCACCATTCATTGTTGACATATTTTCACTTGGTTATGACGGATGTATTTTTTTAGCCGCCATCTTGGATCCACCATTTTGAAACGTGATAAATTATTTTAAATATGAAGGTGGTGTTGTGACCCATCATTTTGAACTACATTTTTATGCTGAACTTAATGTCACAATCCGTTTTTTGTTACCAAGCTTTCTTGATAAAATATAACAATTATTTTATTTTAAATGTCAATATTTCCAAAACCAAATATGGCAATCAAAAACGGATTGCGGCATTGAATTCAGCATAAAAATTTAGTTCAAAATGATGGGTCACAACACCACCTTCATATTTAAAATAATTTATCACATTTCAAAATGGCGGATCCAAGATGGCGGCTGAAAAAAATACATCCGTCATAACCACGTGAAAATAGGTCAACAATGAATGGTGGTGTCTACTTATCTTTATCTAGCACTATTTTGAGATTATGGCCTTAGTTTGTAAATGCACAATGTTATAATGGGCTAAAAATAAAGTTATAAAAAGTTCTCATAACTTTAGAATGGATCAACATTTTTAAAACCGGATTGCAGCATCATATTCAGCGTAAAAAGTTAGTTTGAAACGGTGGGTCACAACCCTACCTTTACATTTGAAAAAATAACTTTGTATCCAATATGGCGGATCCAAGATGGCGGCCTAAAATTTAAACCCAGTCAAAATGAAGTACTTACTACTCTACAATGATCTGACATGGTCCGGAGATGATATCTTAAGAAATGTAGAAAAAACTTGGGGGGGAACTCATTTAAAACTCACCCTGTATAATTAATGCAATACCGTAAGGGTTTTTCCTGTTACATCCATTCTTCTGCTGTCCCAATCAACCGATTTTACGATTGAAGTGTCATTTTAAACATGTCTATGATCTGTTTAGAGTTAATATTTGTTTGTATACCTATAATGCCCTATAATGCATACTTTGCCGCATTCAAGAGAAGTTTACTAGAATGGTTTCTAAGGCGCAGAAAACATATAATTGAGGCACTAAATTATACATTAACTGTCACACTCCACTGTATCTGAGGGCTAAGTATAGTTAGCTAATGTGTTAACACATTCCCTACCAACCGGAACTACCCTCCTGAGGGCTAAAATACATTATATAAAATACATTATTATTATAGTTTTGATAGTTTTCAGTTTACTTTTTTGCACAATAAAACCAACCAGTTCATACTTGCCAAATTCATGGCTGTTTGGCTGTTATGTTAATGCTGGCCAATAGATCTGCTTCATTTTTGAGCTTGCGAATGTCAGTGCTCGATTTGTGGGGGAACACGGTGGAACATAGTTCCGATACCTCTCTTTCCAAAAGATAAAATATTAGCATTAATATGTAGCTTAGGTACTAGCATTGACTATATATGGTATTTATAGTCAATGGTACTAGTTAACTGTTTGACCGTGAGCCTTTTGATCCCAGAGGTTGCGAGTCTGAATCTTACCAGTCACCAATTGCTTCATTTCCAGTGACTATGCGTTAAGTATGGTATAGGGAGTTTAATTAAATATAGGTTACAGTTCCGGCACTTCATTTTTTACGAAACGAGCAATGCGTTGAGTGGTGTATTTTTTTATCCAACACTATATGTATCTTTACCATCTTACTATTTTGCTATTACCGGTACTTACTTCTTTAGTGTGCCAAGTGTCTGGAGTAAAAGGAATAAATCTGAGAGACTTCAACAAAATGTAAATTTCTTTAATCAAAATGGAAGATATTTTCCCTCGAGTGTTGAAAAATTTACATTTTCTTTAAACATATGTTATACATTTCTATTGCACTATTTTATACATATTTATATATCTTGGAAAATTTAACAATAACAAATATCACAACATTCAATCCAAACATTCACATTCAATTTTAAGTGCATGATAAATTTTAATGATTTTTACATACCGTAAATACTTTGATTAGGCTATTTTATAATGACTTATCATAAATTTGATATAAATGAACTTTCTTTTACTGTAAAATTATATTTTTAGCCCAGTAGAAAAGTGCAGTACTGTTTGTCACATTATATTTAAATCATTAGCTAACATTTGATGTCACTTTTTACAATATTCAAATAAAAGAAAATTTATCATTGCCACTGTAGCATTTAAGGACCTTTTTAATATACCTAATGATGGCTAATGCTGTTGCCAAATTAATATAATTTCCTATAAAATGTGTGATTCATTTTCAGTTATATTTTAAAAGTAGTATGAAACCATAAACAATTAGGTTGGCATCAGCACACCTTACAATAACTATAAAAGGACTCGAAATATTGAATTAGTTTAGTCATATCTTTGACTATTGGTACAACTTCAGTATCCAATAGCTAATGGTCATATGAACAAAAGGTAGAGTTTTTAGATATAATCAACAGATCAATGTACAACACACGGAAAGATGACTGAATGACTTCCTTTAATAGTTAATTGTGGCCACATTTTATGGTATTGTATACTAGAACCTAGAACTTTACCATATTAAGGTTGTAAAATAGGCATTTATCTTTTGTCTATTTTTTCGGTAAAGGTTTTATGTGAATTTGTTTACCACATAGAGTACAATGAATTGGTCTTGGCTACATTGACTTGACTTTGGGCTTGTCTAGTCCTTGTGGTCTTACACATTATTTCTGTTGTATTTTTTTTACAAACTGCCTAAAGAATGTTTTTAAAACACATTTTTAATCAACATAGATCCTTTTGAAGGAAGTTTCTGTCTTTAAGACATCTTTTACAGAGGGTAATTCATATCTCTTTGGTAATAATTTTATGTATTTGATAATGGTGTCAAATACATAAAAATGCATGTTTTGACTACAAAAATGTATATTATAAAAACAATGTTCTATTTACTCATGAAAAAATGATGTGAAAAATACTTATGAATAATTGACATATTGCAATGACACTAATAGGAAGTGTTAGAAAACTCTGTTTGATAAAAATATACTAAAAATAAAAATGTTAAAATTGCATGCTCTGAATCATAAAAAGTCCTAAATTTTTATTATGTACTGTTTTAAATTGATTGTCGATATAGTTTTACAAATCTTTTCAATCTTTTAAGTGATTCAAGATTGAGAATCACCATTAAAGCATATCATTGTAAATATATTTCTTTTATACAATATTTTACAAATTTAAAAATAAATTACATTTTATAACTAGCCACCTAACAAAACAAAATTGGACGGAATGTTTTCTCCCAACCATTAAACTAAAACTTAAACATATTTACAAGTATCAAACAATACTGTGTGATAAATACTAATATATTTTTAAATATATACAACCAGAGGAGGTAATAAATTTAATAGAAATATGAATTCATATAAATATGGATAAGGCCGCTGCTTCAAGATATTATACAATATGAAATTACGTGTGATGGAGTATTAAAACCACCAAACTAATTTTCTTCTTTCACAATGTAACACATTATAATTATTACACATTTTATGGTGATTTGTCTTACATAAAGTTGTATTTCACTGTGGCAAAAATATTGCTGAGATCATATATGCATTTATTGTTTAGTAAAGTCACGTCAATAGTTGGCTAAATATGTCAACAGACATAATTTTCAAATAACATTTCTATTTAATAATAGACAGAAAAGGGGTAAACATTAAGAATAGAGCTGTTTTCAAACCCAATGTCGTTTATAAATTGTCATAATGGATACATTTATAGGTGTAACTAGGGTGCGTAATTGAGGGGGCTTAGCTACTAAAAGTCTAAAGGAGGCTCTACCAGGAAATGTTGAAATTTCAGATGAATAACTGTGAGTTTTCAGGCATTTAAAATGTAATATTAAAGAAAACATTTCCTTATAAATCTGGTAGGTGATAAAAATGATAAACTTATAAAATGATAAAATGATACTTGCCGATTTTCAACTATGATGTATTAAAATTCATACTGATGAGAGGTTACAGCCCCCAAAACCTCATTTAGTTACACCTAATGGCTGTATGTTAAAAGTGTGATACAAAATAATGTTTATGAACTATCTTTCACAATTTCCATTGTAATTAACATCGAGTACCAAGCAACCACTTATCCTCTAGAAGGTTCACTTTAATATTATGTAGAAATACACAGATCATTTGTTAAAGAAGTAAAATTATTTTTTGTTGTGTACTAGGGCCAGATTGTAGCTAGTAAATCTGATGATCTCTTATAGTTTTATCAATTATTGCTTTATCAGTTTTACAATAGTTTACAGTCTTGTGATTGCCATTTTACAGATAACTATCGTTAACACTATACTGCTGTACTATGAGTTTGTATTCGGACTTTCTTGACGGTGCTTCCATTTCGAGAGAGTGTCGGAGAAGTACCACTAAAGCCTGGGTTTTGGATGCCGAGACCGTTGTTCGCATTTGCTGGTCTTGGCTTTTTTAAGCTCGATCGAAGTGGGCTTCTTGTGATTGAGGCTGAAAAAGAACATCATATTTAGAAAAGTTTTAGGAAAAATTAAAGAAATTCCATAAGCTCAACTATCACAACTAACCATTTTACTTTGGCTTTCTCAAAACTCTTAGATGATAATGAAATCACCACGTAACTCTATTAAGAAAACATACTTTTAATTCTTTACGAGCAATAACTACTTAAGATATAATATGCAGGTGATGATGACGTTTTTAACAAAGCTGGTTGGTTATAGTGATCCTCTGCTAGTCCTCAGGAAGTTTATTGCTGGTTTGATCCTGTAAAGGCCCTACAGTTTTTTTACGTTTTAAAACTGCCCCACTTCACCTACCCACTCAGCTAACACTAATCATCATGTTATTTTAACTTAAGTTTTCAATAGAAATAATTAAATGGGACCAGGAGACAATCCACTTGTTTTGGGTTTATTTAATTTTATTTCAAATAGTCAAATCATTAATTATAAACAAAACAATTGCCATAGCTCTTTCAAACGAAGTAAACAACCACGTTTATGATTTTGAATACAATGGTAAAAATAGGCCTACTTTATAAACACTATTTACCTGTATTTCTACCATACTTTTTTTGGCAATCTTTAAATTTGCTCTAAATCGTTTGCACTGTAGATAAAACTACCCTACATAATAGAAAAAGACCCTCCCTTTATGCAGGGTTTCTTAAGCTCCCAGATATACCCAATCTTTTAGATCCTTGGATATTTGAGTTGGAAACTACAATATATTTGTATATAGAGCTGTATATAGTTTTATTTTGTTAATATTGAGCATGATAAGTGAGGTTTGAGATAGGTGACAGTTTGTCTAAAGGTAACTGAAGTAAGGCACAGAGGAAACATTCTTATGGGACAACCGTGCGCTTTCAGCTGTGGTATTTTGGGGCTGAAATGTACTTGTGAAGAGCAAGGAAGGGCCAGAACAGCGAGCAATGTAAAGGAATTGTTATCGCACAGAGCACAGGGTCTTCCTTCGCCGTAAGAGTTGTAGTACACGAGGGCAAGGGGGGCGGGGTGCCGAACTTATACCTAGACACCAGTCCTAGTGCTAGACACCACTAAGTGTACCAACGAATGTCTCCTCTGTTCCCTTACTTCTCTATGAGCTGTGTTTGCTTTATTGTTTACAACCAAGTATGTTTACAAATTCATACCAGCTGTGTCGCCCGTGGTGGAGCCATTGGAAGACAGAGTGGTAGACAATGTAACCATACTGCCGTTTGTGCCGGAGTGGGCGTAGGGCTTCCCACTGGCATCTGTCACTGATACACTTCCTCCTGGGCAGAAAACAATACAGAATTACTTCATCACTCTAGAAGAATATTTAGTCTCCTGTGTGAATTAAAAAATATAATTCAACAAGCGCGTTTCATTGTAACAATAGCTTGTTGTTGCAAACTACTCAGGTCTAAACTAGAAGGTATGTAAAATATGCTGATAACTATATATTAGTAGCAAGCATGTTTCTTGAAAACCTTTTTTCTCAGCTTGTGTGTATCGCAGGGAAAATCCACGCATACTGTTAGAAAGATATTTTTCTGTAGGTGTACAGAATCCCTTTATAAATTAAAATAGGCTTAAAAATAATCACAAAAAGTTAACTTAGAATAAAAATAAAATTAACATGGGCCTTAAGGGTTTGCCATGCTGGTGACAAAATAACAACAATAAATATAAACAGAAAATAAAAAAAAATGGAAGAAATTCCAATCATATGTTTTATTTACAGCGTGGCGTTAAAACAGATAAGTCTGCACATTACATATTTTTGGTCGAGTTTTTGACCACTGGATGACGTCTAGTATTTATAAACATTATACAAAATTGAAATAATAAGATTTTAGTCCTTTTTTCTGTATAGTGACCCTGAAAGAGCCATAGTTCTTGGAGCCTGTTATATTCTTCAAGATAAATCGTAAACTACAAATGGGCATCATTATTAGGAGAAAAACTTTTTTCAGTTCAATCTCAAGGATCCCGTTAAGAAAAAGAAACCTGTGGTCTAGCTATTAAAATAAAATGATTAATTTTAGTCAAAACAAATTTTTCTGATTTTATAAGTTGATTCATTCACTGTAAATATACATTTTATGTTTTGAGGTACGGTAGCAATATTTACCAATAACTCACTGCGCTACCAACTTTACTGTAATCACTCTGGCTAATTTTTGAAGTCGAATACCACACTGTTGCTATATACAGGTGTTATAGCTCATGAGATACAGAATAGTGTTTGTTGTTACTGATACCTGGATGAGTTGACCGCTTGTCCCTGAAGCCAGGGTTATTGTAGGTCATAGCGTCAACACCGTTAGGATCTATGGACGACATCGTAGGGTCACCCCCGGCCCGACGGGCGAACAACATGTCGTACAACGCCCCGATAAACAGTAGGAACGTTAGTACTATGAGAACTACCTGTGAACAAACGGGATTCATCTTAAGTTACAGAATAAGAAGTAAAAAAACTTAATTTCTAAATATTGAAACAGAAAATATTGATTTGTTTCTTGATTATTTATCAAAATTAATGTACAGAAATGTTTTTTTAGTTCCAATTTTTGCTTTTGTGTATTTGTATAGTGACAAATTTATAACTGACGACACAATATTATGTATGGAGAAAAACTTTTTTGAATTTGATTTGGAGGGTTGAAGTGTAAACCTTCGAAACTCCTTTTGTTCGGTGAATACTGTATAATGATTAATATGGAGATTGAGACTAGTAACATTGTGCCAATAACATATTTAATCAAGTACTTTTTGGATGCCGATACCATTGACTATTGCTTATACTGTACAATAGAACATTTATTTTTTTTTACTTCAGGACTTTGGGAAATGAATCCCCATACTGTTAATAGGTACTGTTCAATGAAATGGCGACCATACATAGTAGGTATTTTAAGCCAAGTATGAATGGAGATGAGTGTAGGATGAGTGGTACATATACTAAAAGGAAGAAAAAGGTTTATGGGAAGGTATGTCCGAAAATGCATATTCACCCAGATATCCACAATTTTGTTTTTTATACAAAAATATTTTTATCCGTGAAGTTTTTTGTTCGATGATTTTTGGTAAACATGTTAACATGGGAGAAAAAGTTATCTGGGTAGCAAAGTGGGCTATTAATTAACAGCTGTGTCTAAGGCATATGTCGGCCTTAGTCATTAACAAGACTACAAAGAAAAAGATAGACTACAAAGCTCGTACCATTCATACTATAGTTCGGCCGCTTAGAAAGCGACCTCCTCTAGCATTGGTTTAGCATTAGCACGCAGGTCGTGTTCTATGCGGCCGAACTATACACTAATATCCATTCATGCTTGGCTACCTACTTATGTATGGGAGCCATTTCAAAAGTAAAGTATTCAAGTGTTAAGTTATAGTGCTCACATTCAAAATTTGGAGGTCCTGGTTTGATACCAAGGCTACCAACTTATGATGCTTTCCAACAAAAGAATGAAGTTAGATAGTAGCAAGACCAGAATTTGAAAAAAAATTCCTCATATAAAAACTAAGCGATTCCATCTGCATTGAAAAACAAAACACAAAAAAAGTTATTGAAACAAAAAATTAACTCTCTTAAGTTAATGTTATTAATAATGTTACCAATAATGTTACCAATAATGTTAACAATAATGTTTATTAAAAGGGAAGAGTTTAATTGAAGGGGATGGGAAGGGAAGGTCAGGTCAGTGTGAGATAACGTTTTTACTGCCCTATCACCTCAAGCAGCCTCTACTTGACTTTATCGCTTAGTTTAACGTCTTTTGGGGACACGAGACAGTTTACTGGCACAAGATGTGTTCATTCACCTCTTAATGATTCTACATGTCTAGTAATACAGTGGGAGAAAAACTAGAAACAGTAACAAAGTTGTTAATACATATACTCCTTTTCAAATAAATAATATTTTACCAAACCATTAAAATTCTTCATTACGATTGATAAACATGTTGGAAAAATGAAGTACATAGTACTGCCAATTTTTTATTGCATGCGAGTGAAAATTAAAATGAAAATCTATTTGTTTTACTATGGATGTTAGTCATAGAAATACTATGCCCATGTATGATGGTTATACCATCGCAGGCAAAGCTGGGCGTACAAGCTAGTTTTATTATACAAATTATGTAGTTGAATTGCAATATTAACATAGAGGATAAAAATAGGAATCAGGAATGTAATTCCAAAATTACGTTTACAAAGGGAATCCAAGTAAGTTGAGAGCTTACGATCCAATTCAACATTGATCCTTTTAGACAATATGGGGCTTTCGCCGCCCATGCAACAACTTTATTACGCTTTTTTTTTAAACTAAACTTCATATGTATGATTTTGTAATCGAATATCATTTATAAAGCTGTACATGATGGCTATGAACGGATATTAGGAGGAAAACTACTGAGAAAATTTCTAAGAGTCGTGACTCATATTTTGGTGTTACTACACCTCCTTTACTGGTGAGTTTATTGACTAAATAAATATTTATGTTTTTTTGTATGTGTTTTATGTATTTTGATGGTTTAATTGATATAAAGAACCACATAAACTGAAATGATTCATTAATTTGATGTACCTGTGACACCTGATGATGGACTGTAGTACGTGCAAACCATGGACAATGATAATATCACAATGGTACCACTTACCACATATCTCTCGTCAGATTAGATTAGGTAATAATATTACCTATATTATAAACAATTTTTCAATTCATTTATTCACCCAAAGGCTAATTTATCGGGAAAAAATAAATGCTTTAGTTATATTCCTTATACATATCATGGTTAACATTTGTACAAATCTATTTTTGATTTTATTTAATGTCTAAAAACATATATTTATGAATAAAAACATACAGTACTGTATTTTCTGCTTAGTTGAACTGATATTTTAAGCACCAAGCTGCATCTGAGGATATAATTCCAGCTAAGCTACTTAGAATGTACAAGAACTGTCTCCTGTCCTTCATCCTTAATAAGCCTCTCTTTGTCTTCTTCACAGCTTATCCTTATCATTTGACATAGTAGAGGAGATAGCGACTGGGGTGGACCATAATGTCACCCAAGTGTTATGGATCAATTATTATTATCAGTTATTGGTGGTGTTATTGGCTAAAACCTAGAAAACAAGGCTAGAAAAATAAGTTGACAATTTTGCCAGGTGGGTGCCCTATGGTTGGCAAGGGAGACGTATCCAACATTAGGATATCATTCACACGTACAAGTTGGACTTCGGAGAGTGTTGATAGATGGTGCCAGTGGGGTGGAGCCCTGAGATCGCGAAAAAGTACTCCGAAGACCCTTAGTCCCCTAAAATTATGGTACAGTAGGTCTGGGGGCAGAATTTAAGTGCTTTTTTTCAAGCCATTTTGGAAAATCTGTTCCTCTATAAGAATAACATGGCAACTTTTGATGCTAATGGGGGGCAGCCCTAAGGTTTGAAAAAAGTTTTTTATTGTTTGGTCATCTGTAACTTGGTATGGTACTGGTTCAGTTTAGAGGTTCTGTTATCGATACTACCAGGGAAAAACACACGCACAACTATATACTATAGTTCGGCCGCTTAGAAAGCGACCTCCTCTAGCATTGGTTTAGCATGAGCACGCAGGTAGTTTTCTATGTGGCCGAATTATAGTACTAGTGTATAGGCCTGCATAGTATAGATAAGTTATACCAAAAATTAAAAATACATCTCGCACGTATCGTACATAAGTTTTTGTACCAAATAATTAAGGAAACTCGATTTTAAAACAAATTTCACATTACATGAATTTTTTGATTTTTTCAAGTTTTTCCAATATGGCGTCCAAAAACACAATTTGCATGGTTAGATTTTTCTAGACTTTCAGCATTGTTGTATTAATAGTCAAAGTTTTCAGTATGTGAAACAGACAACATCAAAGGAACTAAAAAAAAATCAAATTCTGTTTTCGTGGGAATTAGTTCCACACTAAACTCTATAACTCCTATAAATAGTAACTGATTAATTATTTAATCTAAATATAGAAAGCAGATACCACAGAAAACAAGTTTTATCGGGTAGTCATTTGCCTCGCTACTGTTTACCTAAGCATAAAAATATGAGTTTATTGATACACAACGAGGACTTTAATAATAAACAATAAGGGTACTTTTCAATTAAAAAACTGTCTTTCAATGTACAAGGAGCATGATAAACACTGAGGGCACTAAGATATTGCTTTCTGCAGCCCCACATCACAAATCTAAATTATTTAATAGAGGAAATGGATAACCTGTGGCTGTAATGACACACGTTTAAAGTAATACAACAGGTCCTATTACTACTTTTTGATGGCTTGATTAATTTTTGTTCCGACCTATAGTACTGTAAGTTTTTTGCCTTATTTTTGTTGGTTTAAAAGCTTCATAAAGGTTGTAGAAATAAAATAAGTAGGCTATATATTGTAATTTTTTTTTAGAATTCTGGCTTTTGGACAGCTAAAACAGGATTTAAAGCATTTGGTATAAAACAGTTACCAGAAAGGTGTTTTTCCTAAACCCCATAACGAGATACCTTTATACACCCTCCCCCTCCCACCAGAAAAATTTGCATCATGCCTCCTAGCCTTACCTCTAGTAGACACATCTAGTGTGTTCCTATTCCTGCATTGAGTTACTGCAGGAGAAAAATCAGCAATAATCATAAAATGGAGAAGTATTATGAATCACTATACACTACTTATACAATCATACTAATATTATAAGTGTGAAGGTTTATGTGCTTGTTTGTTTGTTTGTTTGAAGTTCAATCACACATCAACTAGGCCTACTGGTTGGATTGGGTTGAAATTTGGTATGATGATAGCCCACATTCCCAATTAACATATAGGCAAATTTTTTTCTCAAAAATCCTTTGGGGCTCTAAGAGTTACCCAATACCCATGTTAACCTATGAGTATTCACTTTTTAAAAGGAATTAAAGAGATTTGCCAGTTGTTTCAACTACACAAGTTGGTTCTATGATAACTTACCATAACATAGAAAGACTCTCCTCTATGAACTTGGAAGTCGTTCGCTCTATCATCTGTTTGTAAAGCAAACAGGCCGGCTGCGGCAATACCAAACATAGCTGAAAACATTCCCAGATTATTTATTTGTCAACATTACTTGTGTGAGAAAACTGCTTGGTTAAGGAACTAAAATTTCTTATAGTTGAATAGATACAACTTCCGTATCGGAGAGGTGTGGAGGAGTAGTGAGCAGTGGGGAGACTGCCGTTGCGATGTTGCCGCGTTGTTATTAGTCGCAGTGAGCGGGAACTGCAACTTCCTCAATCCTCACAGACACAGAATATGCGCGCCAGCGCCAGCTTACAACAACGCACGCAGCGTTACACTGAGTGCTGTGACTGCTGTGCTGCAATTTCGTGTTATCTGTTGATAGTTAGAGAACATCTGCTGATAGGGAAGTGTTGTAAACAGAACAGCTTAGAAGTACAGAAACATTTGTTCCAAAATAAATGATTCCCTATGTTTGGAACGCTCTTTGATATATTTACTGACTTCTGGTGGGAAGCGACATTTCTGTTGTAAACCCAAAATATACTGTGAAATACACATGTGATGACTATTCCAACATCAAAAAGTTTTTTTTCTAGCTTAGGGGACTTCTAAACTCTCGCGGACAGTATACTGTACTCGAAGTAGTCACTGTCATAACACTGGAGGAACTGCACATGTGCGTGCGGGCGTGGAGATGCAGTGCGATATGGCAACAGCGACTGTTGTTATGGAAACCGCGTCAGGCTCTCCTTGCTCTTATTGGTCAGGTAGTCAACCTGGCAGTTCTCCCTCTTACTCGAACGTCAGATCGCCCCACCACGCCGATACGGAAGTTGTATCTATTCAAGTATAAATACATTGCCGATATTATGTAGCTTGAAGTTTAAGAGTCTTCATCAGTGGTAGCCATCTTGAATCTTAGTCCCATAAGACTAATGTTAACTTGGTGACGGTATTACGTCTCTTCCGATTGTTGTAAAGATATAATTTTTATGTCCAATTAAAGGTATGGTAGTCCTCTAGCTAATGTATTGCGTAAATTGTTCATTACGAGGCCAAATTTTGAAATATGAATAAATTAGTGAGATATAAATCAAATATTTTTAAATTAAAAAATAAACCATATTTTCAAAAAATAACTAATACATTAGCTAGAAACGTGCCTTATAATCATAATACTAAATTTTGGAATTTTTATTTCCATAAATAACTGTGTAATTTTGAGACAAGTAATTACGTTGAGTATACTGATCAGAGCGCAGCAGAGTGGCCTCTTATTGAAGACTCTTAAGGCGTTGATGAATATATGAATATATGGCGTAGAATGAATGAATGATTATATGTTGTACTCACTAATCAATTAACATTAATTACTGTAAGGATACATCTCACCTTATGGATTTTATGTGTTCTCCTGGAAAAATTTGAAAACTGTGCTTAAATGAGCGATTTTTGAGTTTCGTTGTGCTTTAGAAGAGAAGAATTCTTCTCTCCTCAAATAAAGACTAGACTTTTGGAAAGACTAGACTTTTGAAATCAATACAGATACAGTTTACAATGGTATCGGTAACATTTTTCTGTTTTAGCAAATTTCCCTATAGGAAAGTAGCTATTACCGTAGGTGGCACTGTAAAACCTAGACCCGGGACCAATTTACTTTTTAATTTTCATGTCCCCAGAGGCCAAAAACGCTATTCGTTAAAATTTGTATATCATGTATATATATATATATCTCTATGCCTATATGAATGTATATATTTTTTGTAATTTTTTACCCTCAAAACACAAAATTTCCCAATTATTCTCTAGACTTTTAGCTTAAAAAGCAAACAATTTAGTATGTCAAAGTGTTTTGTACGATTATTGGTAACGGAGAAATTTAAAAAAAAGTTTAAATTAAAAATTCCCACGTTATTCTTATGGAGAATATTGTAAAATGTTGTATTTTGCTTGTTTATGGATATATTTTAATCAAACTTGGCAAATTTATTTATTTTATTTATACTAAGCTAATTCTATTATACTAAAAACCACACTTTATTAGTTTCCTTGGGGCAGAAAACCTAGGTACTCGTTAAACCTATAATGTTATTTAAATAGATTTAATTGAAAATCTATTTAAGACAAATGGAAATTCGCTTAGTTGACAGGTTTGCTGCAGCAGGGGTATTTAGCTTTTATCTTCACCAAGATATTATTGCTATTTTTGCAAATATTTTTATTTTCATTACACTGTCTATTTATAAATAATTCTATAGTCCACTGATGTTTTACCCTAATTAATTTTAATAGGTAGGACTACAATCTTGATTCCAGTTACTAAATGTAAGTAATTTTGGATTTCCAATTTTCAGCATATCATGGTTCCACAGTATATTAAAACATTTCAACTACAGTGTTCTGTTACTCACTAGCGAGAAGGGCTAAGCCCAGCTTGGCGGTGACTGCTGCTGTATACTTCATCACCACTTTGTCCTTGGAGACTATCATAGCCAGCTGGATGACACTGAGGACACAGAAGGCAGCCAGACACAACACTCCCAGAGCTCCCATGTACCCTGCTATCCGCACAGCCCCTGAAACAAACAAATCACAGTAACAGCTATATCTTGGCCTAACTTACAGTCAGAAACATAGATTCAGCTCAGGCTTACCCATCTGGCTTGAAACCTCTGTTATCTAATTCTGTTAGATAATTCTAATCCGAACAGTTTCAACTTTGTGAACTTTGCTACGATGTGAACCGGTACAGTGACTCTCGTGTATATATAAACTGTGTATATATTAGGATGTAAGTGTAGGATAGTAACCTCTGAAGATGCCACAACCTGTGGCGAAATGCGCATCAGGTATCAAAAACAACAAGAACTTCAAGGCAACAAAAACCAAAAAGGTAATTGATTAAAACATATTTGACAAATAGCGACATATTTTATCAATAATTTATCGCGAAAAAAACTGCAGTTTGCTGGAATAATTGCGGTTTGATGGTACATGTATGTCAAAATTAAACCACAGTTTTGTTTGGTGACCAGGGATTCAACACCAATGACATTGGTTAACCACAAACATGAAGTGGTTAGCTCAATCACACTTTTACACAGTAATTAAACCTAAAATAATAAATTCAACAGATATTTTCTTTTTTCATAAAATATTATCAGCTTCTAAATTTTACTATAGACTACAATATATTGGTTCAATTTTCAACATGTAATAGTACTTCAGGACTTAAGTTCTGTGTACTGAATGTCTTTGAAATCCTAATAATATATTATTACCTTATATGATAATGCAGCCTGCATGGTAGTTCGGAAACCATGTTGAGCCACAGACTAACTACTGTATCTAGAAAATATCGTTTTCTAAAAAAAAGCTGTATTTCTTGGGTGAGGTTAACTTTTTGGTACTTTGGTATTATCCAGAGGCCACTTATTTTCACTTTTTACATATCGAGGAAGCCATACACCTAAAGTGTGTACCTCTACACCAGCTGAGCCTCTGAAAACATTAATAACCCATTGTTTGAAGTTAATTGTCATTCCATAAACTCACCATGTGGCTGAAACCTGGACACATTGTCCCCACACTTGGTCCTGCCGTAGAGCAGCTCCTTGCAGAGAGTCCATGGTCCGAAGTAGCCCTTCTCAGACCCCGGACCACCTGAAACATGAACATGATACATGAACATAACCATAACATAACATGAACATAATGTAATTGTAACATGAACATAATGTGTAATATGGGGCTCTAGAGTACAGTTCGATACTCACTTACATTACATTACCGACTGAGATGGGGACGTGGCTGATCTCAAAAACTAAAATAAAGTGTTTAAATAGTTATTTTCATTAAAGAATCAGTTGGTATCCAGAACATCAGCTCTTTCATTGTTGTAAGTAATATTAGCTTGCTGATCACAGCAACGATTACATTACATTACCAATTGAGATGAGGACATAACTTGACTTTAACCTAAATGGACAAAGGATGAGTGTATCACAGTTTAATGAAGTGAGATGTATTTTATCACATTAGGGAATAAGCCATTACCATAGGTCTCATGGTAGGACCTGGACCGGGGACCGATTTACTTTTTTGCTTTGATGTCCCCAGAGGCAAATACACAATTCGTTCAAATTAATATATATTTATATATGTCCGTTAGCATGATAACTCGAGCGGTCCAGCATGATCGGACCATGGGAATGGGGTGTTATGGGGTAAAAATTGGGATATCTCGTTTTAGACCCTCAAAACATAAAATTTCCTTCTCTCTTGACCATTTTGAAGAGCTTAAAAACAAATAATTTAGTATATTGAGGGGTTTTTGTAAGGTTATTGGTAAAGGAGAAAATTCCAAAAGTTTTAAATTTAAAATTTATGGGGAATAAGTAAACTGTTGTAGTGTGCTTGTTTATGGATATATATTGATAAAAAACACACTTAATTACCCTCCCTGTAGCAGTAAACCTAGGTACTCGTTAAACCTATTGTTATTGAAATAGATTAAATTGAAAATCAAATCAGACATATGGAAATTCGCTTAGTCTGCAGGTTCGCTGCAGCGGGGGTATTATATGTATTTACCGTCTTGTGATTCGACAGTATAAGTGTAAATATATTAATACAATTGTTATTAAACGTATATTTTTTGTTTTTTCAATCAAATCAGTCAAAAGGAAATTTGCTTATTTTGCAGGTTTGCTGTGGTGGGGGTATTTTAGCTTTGTTACTGACTGAGAGCAACTGTTTCTTTAGCCAACCATTTATCACAAGCCTAACTATGAAAGATGGGTGGGTTCAGTATCAAAACATGAAACATTTTCTGACTCAAACCTGTAATTGTAATTGGAGCACTGTAATTACTAGTTACTAGCTACTCAGGTATAAGGCTACATATAAACAGCATAAAGAAAATCTGTTCCTCAAAATACGCTTAAAGAAAGCAGAGGTCACTATAATATCACATATATACATATACATATATATATATATATATATATATATATATATATATATATATATATATATATATATATATATATATATCAGTGATCTTATAGTAACTGTATTGACATAGTTAAGTTGTTTGAAACTAGCTTATGTAAACTCAATATCATGTTTGAACTCTTTTGAACAAAATTTGTTTGTAATGATATCAAAAAATTTTGATCAAAGAACCAATGGAAATAATTAATTATAATGATAAGGATTGGGTGTTGAAGCCATGTTGAACATTCTAAGAGATTTGGCGAATTCAAACGAAGCTTTTGATGGGTTTACTTTGAGAAGTTGTATAACGTTTACTTATAGTCGATGTAATTGATTAGCTAATGGGATTACATGACGCCTTCATTACTCACCACACTCACTGCGGAACAGTTACGTATTGCGGCAATCTTTCAAAGTAGCAGGCGCTTTCAAATACAATGTTAATTTAAACAACAATGTTTATTGGTAAAAAACCCATTCGATTTTAAAAACTAAATTGCAGTGTTTTAGTAGTTATTTTTATTCGCAGGAGAAAGAATCAGTTGGTGTCAATAACATCAGCTGTTTAATTGTTATAGGTAATAGTTTAGCTTGCTGATCACAAACTACAATGTTATTTAAAATTCTGTGGACACATTTTGTAACGTATTGTCGGATGGTTTGTATTGTAGTTAACCGAATTTTGTGCCCTTTATCAAGTAAATAAATAGACAGGGTCTTAAAATGAGTATTGAACGTTTTGACGCAGTGGAACACGCTGCTATTTAACTCTAAAGTTAAATTTAACTTCTCAGACTCAAACAGCTGTTTGTTTAGTATACCTAAAATTGTCCATTCGAATGTTAGTTGTTATATTTCATTTATTTGTTAAAGACTGGATCAAGTCTGAATGTCCATATACTCAAAGCAATGTTCAAAGGCTTGCAAACCTTCACCAACTAGATCGTGTATTTGTGCAGTACACTCGTATTTTCAATATTAATAGTGATTTTGCAAGTAATAAACATAATTCTCAATCAACTATTTCGTTATTGCATATTCACTACAGGGTATCTTACTACTCTTGCATACATAAGTACAATGAACTTAAATTACATCATTTGTACCCACCCTCTTGTCCCTAGTAATTTCAGATTACAATATTGCCAATTGCGTAGGCGTAGGTTTAATATTGCTGAGTGAGGAGGGAACGTATTCCACTGCTTATAACCACTCACTGACTAAGCTCTTGGTTCTCTCAAGTTTATAGCTTCTATAACTAGCCAGCTCAGCGCAAACAAATTCCCCTGCCGAAGTTGCTAACTATATACACTAAGATTCACAAGTACAATAAATAATTAGTTTATTGTTGTAACCGTACTTTAAACCTTTTTTACCATGTATGGAAATGTTACTGCTTGGTTTTATTAACAAGGTCTGCAAATGAAAGAAGGTTCATATGATTGCTTGAAGCTCATGCGCATTGCAGGCGATGTCAATTTTAGAAGTGGATGTAGCGCTCGTCCAGTAATCAGAAGATTGCTGATTCAATCCTGAGAAAAGACAATACCGTAGCTTTTTATGGTTCAAAACTACGTCACCTATCATTGATCATTGGACCTAATAAGCGGGTCTGTTTATAATCAGCTGATTTTAGTTAGTAACTAAGTTAGTTGTCATTTCATTCATCCTTCAAGTTCCCTGAAGTGTCGGCGTCGTATAATTGTACTAAGTGTTAGGATATTTAGATTATAGCAACTATAAATCCAACACTTATCTAATCTAATTTTAGTTTATAAAATAAATACAGGAAATGACTACTATACTTTTTTTCTACTAAAACCTTTTTACTTTTCTTTTACTTTTTTTTTTAACTAAAATCGTATTATACAAGTCAGCTCAGCAACCAATACAACTTGAAGATGGAATAGAGATAGAACAGAACATGTCGGCTTTATTCATGGGAACGTTTATATGAGGTATTTCTCACCGTGGCAAGCTGTGATTATAGCAATCACTATCACCAAGGCATTGGACACAGCCGGGGCGTCGCCGGCTCTGCCCTGTACAATACAATGTGACAATAACAATACTGACGGTGTTAACATGTAGCAGTGTACAGGCTTACATGTGAACATAACCTCACTTCCACCCAGGCTGTCGTTACTGTAACCTTCACAACATGTAGCAGTGTACAGGCTTACATGTGAACATAACCTCACTTCCACCCAGGCTGTCGTTACTGTAACCTTCACAACATGTAGCAGTGTACAGGCTTACATGTGAACATAACCTCACTTCCACCCAGGCTGTCGTTACTGTAACCTTCACGATGATGTAGCAGTGTACAGGCTTACATGTGAACATAACCTCACTTCCACCCAGGCTGTCGTTACTGTAACCTTCACAACATGTAGCAGGGTACAGGCTTACATGTGAACATAACCTCACTTCCACCCAGGCTGTCGTTACTGTAACATGTAGTAGGCCCAGCAGTGTACAGGCTTACATGGGAACATAACCTCACTTCCACCCAGGCTGTCGTTACTGTAACCTTCACGATGATGTAGCAGTGTACAGGCTTACATGTGAACATAACCTCACTTCCACCCAGGCTGTCGTTACTGTAACATGTAGGCCTAGCAGTGTACAGGCTTACATGTGAACATAGCCTCACTTCCACCCAGGCTGTCGTTACTGTAACCTTCACGATGATGTAGCAGTGTACAGGCTTACATGTGAACATAACCTCACTTCCACCCAGGCTGTCGTTACTGTAACCTTCACAACATGTAGCAGTGTACAGGCTTACATGTGAACATAACCTCACTTCCACCCAGGCTGTCGTTACTGTAACCTTCACAACATGTAGCAGTGTACAGGCTTACATGTGAACATAACCTCACTTCCACCCAGGCTGTCGTTACTGTAACCTTCACGATGATGTAGCAGTGTACAGGCTTACATGTGAACATAACCTCACTTCCACCCAGGCTGTCGTTACTGTAACCTTCACAACATGTAGCAGGGTACAGGCTTACATGTGAACATAACCTCACTTCCACCCAGGCTGTCGTTACTGTAACATGTAGTAGGCCCAGCAGTGTACAGGCTTACATGGGAACATAACCTCACTTCCACCCAGGCTGTCGTTACTGTAACCTTCACGATGATGTAGCAGTGTACAGGCTTACATGTGAACATAACCTCACTTCCACCCAGGCTGTCGTTACTGTAACATGTAGGCCTAGCAGTGTACAGGCTTACATGTGAACATAGCCTCACTTCCACCCAGGCTGTCGTTACTGTAACCTTCACGATGATGTAGCAGTGTACAGGCTTACATGTGAACATAACCTCACTTCCACCCAGGCTGTCGTTACTGTAACCTTCACAACATGTAGCAGTGTACAGGCTTACATGTGAACATAACCTCACTTCCACCCAGGCTGTCGTTACTGTAACCTTCACAACATGTAGCAGTGTACAGGCTTACATGTGAACATAACCTCACTTCCACCCAGGCTGTCGTTACTGTAACCTTCACAACATGTAGCAGGGTACAGGCTTACATGTGCACATAACCTCACTTCCACCCAGGATGTCGTTACTGTAACCTTCACAACATGTAGCAGTGTACTGGATTACATGTGCACATAACCTCACTTCCACCCAGGCTGTCGTTA